TGACGCGGTTCCACTTCCCTACTGGTTCCACGAAAATGCCAGCCTCAAAGCTACCTTCAAGCTAGCGTCGCGAACACTATGCGGTGGAGTGAGAGCCATGAACGTGCTTGCCAACACTCATTGAGAGTTGGTGAGCATGACTCTGGTCACTTTTCAGGCTGTGTTTGCCGGCTGCCCTCAACTGGCACGACATCTTGGCCATTCTCGGGCATATCGCTCAAGCTCAGTCAGCAACGCGGTCCTTTGGTTTCCCATGCCGCCTTCCACTTCACAAAGTCCAATCAACGTCTATATTCTGGCCTTTGGCCACTTGCTCGACAGCTCAGGCATCTCAGCAAGAGCTGATGGAGCTGATGCAGCGCTCAACCTGGATTCGATGCTGCAACTTGTGAGCGGTATGGAGGTGTGAGCCCGCAAGTGTTCCGCATTGTAACTACATGTCGCACGCTTCCTCACAGCGAAAAGCAAAGGATAGAAGGCTGGCCAAGCTCTAGCAGCAGCCGCGCCCTTTATGAAGCTGTCAAGCTGTCTTGGTGGCCTCGGCCAGAACTTCGGCCACAGACTGCCACGGAGGTCAACTTTCGGTCGTGATCAGACTTGCAACCAAACCGACAGATGATTTTGCTTGCTTTGTAGGTTGACAGCGCTGATGGCCTAGGCCTAGTTTACCTTTGGATTGCGGCTGACTTATCCCAAGGTCTGATCCTGTCCAATTTTGCAAGCCCGGGAAAAATCGATTCGGACGGGAGCGACCTTCCATCGCTTCGGGTCCCACAGCTCTTGAAGCCGTGCTTTCGAAAGAGCGAAACATCCGTTTCGGGGACCACGTGCTTCCACTTTGACGCCAGTTGAAGTAAAAGGAGGTACTTGGGTCTGACAGGCAACCAAACCCACAGCCATTGAGGATGGCCTAGAGGATGATATCGCAGCGGGTGTTAGTGACAGTGACTTGGTCAACCCAGCTTGCGGTGCCTACATGCTCAACAGTTGGCATCAAAGCTCACCGCTGGAGAAGTTCTGGCGCGGGGCAGCTGAGAAGCCATCTGGATTTCGCAGCGGATGAACCGTCGTTTTTTGTGGCGCGACAACCGGATTTACGGCCACAGACTGCGCTCTGGAAGTGAACTTTCGTGCCATAGCCAGGCGCGCCGTCAATCCTGCTGGTCGCCGGTGAAATTGTTTGTTCGCTTGTAGAGTTCTGACAGGGGACTCGCCTGGTGATCGGGCTTAAAGCTGGGAAGCTCCTAGGTTCACAGCAGCAGCTATCAATGCCCTTCAAGAGGATTGTTGAAAGGGCCAGATCTATGGCTGTGCTGCAGCTCAGAAGTAACCTGTGAGGCGGAATCAGACCTGCTTGTGTTCGTGCTTCTGTAGAGTTCTGACAGTCCTTTCGCTTTACTATTGAAGTGCCACCAACTTACTCCACGTCTGACCCTATGGATTGTAGACAAGTCTCGGAGCTGATGGGCGAGCTGGAAAGCGCCGGGTCTAAAGGCAGTAGCTGAGGGCATCTTCCTGGTTTGGAGGGTTGGGCGAAACGGCCAGACGCTGCCACTTCCAGGTAGGTTAGCTTTTGAGCATGCAGTCAAACCTACTTCTGTAGACGGCAATTTTGGTTCCTCTGTGTAGACATGCAAGCGCACCTGCTTGTGCGTAATGGTCACGATGTCTTTGTAGATTCTGACAGTGGCCTCTCCGGATGCAAGTACTTGGTTCCTCTGTGTAGACATGCAAGCGCACCTGCTTGTGCGTAATGGTCACGATGTCTTTGTAGATTCTAACAGTGGCCTCTCCGGATGCAAGCACTTGTTTTGCTTGAATCCTTAAAGTGCCACCGACTTTCTCTTGATTTTCTTCGGCGCAGGGAGAAGTTCTGGCGTTGATGGTCTCGCGGTAGCTGGGCTCTTCGAGAGGGCGTCTTCTTGGTTTTGAGGGCCGGGCGAAACGGCCAGACGCTGCCAGTTATGTCTTACTCTCCCCAAGCTGCCATAAAACCCTACTCAGTTCTTTTGCCTCACCCATTCCTGCAAATCACTGAAAAGCGTTCTTGGCTTTTGGCTTCCTTGAAAAACCAGCCAAGGTCACTTTGAAGACCCGGTCTGTTGGAAAGAGCCTCTCAGCGTTGCGAGTTTGGAGGGCGTCGGGTTCCCTCTCCTCTCCGCCCAAGAGGACGCTCCCAAGAGACGGCTACACAGCGGATCCGAACATTGAAACCTACAGATGTAGGTTTAATTGCGTGCTCTCCTATTATTGTCTTGCGCGTTGGAAACAAGGAGCTACCAGCGGGCAGCAGTTTACGAGAAAAATGCCTTTCACTCATGCAAGGACGCGCGTAAACAAAGCCTGCTTGTAGCGCCAGACTATCGACCCTGCGCTCGTGGCACCTGCAGCCGTGGACGTGAACTGCGCAACTTGCACGCATGCTTGTTTTGCCTGAAGCTTCAAAGTCGAAGCCGTGAGCGTGAGTGCGGCTTGGATGCTGCGTGACTTTCGGCTTCCCAGCCACTCCGCGGGGCCCGTCTGTCCGGGCCCAGGCTGTCCGGATCCCCAGATGTTTGCTTGGTCATCGACTTGAGAACCGATGGCGAGCTAGCCACTTCATGGAGTCCAACCCCCCCGTGTCACCCATGTCCATACCCATCAGGGTTTGTTACTTCAGTGTTGGGCAGGTTGACTGTGTTAAGACTGGTGCAGGTCATGAGACTTATGAAACTTGAGCGCTTGGAGAGATGTGGACATCGGCTCGGCAAAAAGTCATTGGGACCTTGGGCCGTAGTGAGAATGCTGCAAAAACGCAAGCGCCGGAGGCTAGCGCGTACTTACGCTGACTTGCAAGACACAGGGGAAGACTGGATGTCCGTCCATGTGGCCTGTTGGAAACACCAGATGCTGGTACAAAATGCAGAGCATACCCAGACCATCCAGGCATTTGCCCTGGCCAAGCATCCCAGAGCACGCGTGACATTTCCGCGACACATTTCAGCCACTTTGCGGCTGGCAGAGTTGTCGCAAAGCCTGGAGAAATTTCCTTGGCGTGCTGGCAGCATTTTGAATGTGTTGCCAGTTCCATCTCGCGCGTGCAGGGCGTGTATCATCTGAAAGATGTAGTTGCACGTGCCCCAGACATGCTGCAGGGCGTTGCCCTTTAGCAGCGTCCAAGATGCATTACACGGGCGCAGAGTGCGACATTGCAGTCTTGGCCGGGCAGCTGGCAGAGTTGTCGCAGAGCCCGGAGAAAATCGAAGGGCAGATTACCTTGGCGTGCTGGCAGCAGTCTGAATGTGTGCCAAGTTGCAAGCGGCCAAGACATGCTGCAGGGCATTTCCCTTGCATGCTAGCAGCGTCCGCGACGCATTCCAGGAGTTGCCTTAGGCGCAGGCGCGCGACACATTTCAGCCACTTTGTAGAGCGTTTCCTTGAGTCTTGGCCGGGCAGCTGGCAGAGTTGTCGCAGAACCCGGAGAAAGTTGCAGGGCAGATTACCTTGGCGTGCTGGCAGAATTGTGAATGTGTTGACATATTCTATCGCGCGCTCGCGGGGTGTGTATCTTCTCGCACGTGTTGTGGTTGCGTGTGTCCAAGACATGCTGCAAGGAATTGCCCAAGTGCCAGGAGTTGCCTTGCGCACGGGCGCAGTGCGCGGCATTTTTTGCGTCTTGGCCGGGCGGCTGGCAGACTTGTCAAACCCTGGAGAAATTGCAGGCACATTACCTTGGCGTGCTGGCAGTATTCTGAATGTGTTGCCAGATATTTCACCGCGCGCGCGGAGCGGATATCTTCTTGCATGTGTTGCAGTTGCATGTGTCCAAGACATGCTGCAGGGCATTGCCCTTGCATGCTGGCAGCGTCCGAGATGCATTGCCCATCCTTGCGCGCACAGGCGCAGGCGCGCGACACATTTCAGCCACTTTGCAGCGTTTCCTTGAGGCTTGGCCGGGCAGCTGGCAGAGTTGTCGCAGAGCCCGGAGAAAATTGCAGGGCAGATCACCTTGGCGTGCTGGCAGAACTGTGAATGTGTTGCCAGATATTCCATCTCGTGCGCGCGGGGCGTGTATCTTCTCGCATGTGTTGCAGTTGCATGTGTCCAGGACATGCTGCGTTGCAGCGTCCGAGATGCGTTGCCAGGAGCTGCCTTACAGCTCATCCAGGAAAAGCGCGTGGCTTCTTGGTTTCAAAGCGGAAGCTCATACCGCAGTTGTGTCTTCTCAACGATACGGGCGAATGACAATGTCTTTATACGGCCGTAAAACAACAGAAACGCTGCCTCAGTCCCCGCCGGGCAAGACGCGCGTCAGAATTCAGCCCACTTGAAGCCAGCCTCATTGCAAAACTTGTTAGCGCCGCACCGTCAAAGACTTGCCACGTGCCATTCAATGCATCATACTGTCGGCGCAATTGCCTGTTAGATGGCCAGGTCAAGCAGCGAATCGCTTTGCCCGCAAGGACAGCACTGCCAGGGCACCAGACACCAAGAACTCATGCATTTGCAGAGCAGATTACCTTGGCGTGTTGGCAGCGTGCTGAATGTGTTGCCAGATCGCGCGCGCGCGGGGCGTGTATTTTTTCGCATGTGTTGCAGTTGCATGTGTCCAAGACATGCTGCAGGGCACTGCCCTTGCATGCTAGCAGCGTCCGAGATGCATTTCTGGAGTTGCCTTGGGCATGGGCGTAGCGCGCGGCACATTTCAGCCACTGAGTAGAGCATTCATAGTCTTGCCGAGGCAGCTGGCAGAGTTGTCACAGAACCCGGAGAAAGCTGAAGGGCAGATTACCATTGCGTGATGGCAGAGTTGTGAATGTGTTGCCAGATTTTCCATCTCGCGCGCGCGCTCGGGGCGAGTGTCTTCCCGCATGTGTTGCAGTTGCATGTGTCCAAACCCTGCTGCAGGGCATTGCCTTTGCATGCTAGCAGCGTCCGAGTTGGATTGCCTTGCACACGGGCGCAGCGCGCGACACATTTCAGTTATTTTGTAGAGCATTTGCGTGCTAGCAGCGTCCGAGATGGATTGCCAGGAGTTGCCTTGCACCCGGGCGCAGCGCGCGACACATTTCAAACGCTGCCTCAGGTCCAAGACAGGCTGCAGGGCGTTGCCCTTACATGCTAACGTGCTAGCAGCGTCCGAGATGGATTGCCAGGAGTTGCCTTGCACACACGGGCGCAGCGCGCGACACATTTGGTCGGCAGAGTTGTCGCAGAGCCCGGAGAAAATTGCAGGGCAGATCACCTTGGCGTGCTGGCAGAACTGTGAATGTGTTGCCAGATATTCCATCTCGTGCGCGCGGGGCGTGTATCTTCTCGCATGTGTTGCAGTTGCATGTGTCCAGGACATGCTGCGTTGCAGCGTCCGAGATGCGTTGCCAGGAGCTGCCTTACAGCTCATCCAGGAAAAGCGCGTGGCTTCTTGGTTTCAAAGCGGAAGCTCATACCGCAGTTGTGTCTTCTCAACGATACGGCCAAATGACAATGCCTTTGTACGGCCGTAGAACTTCAGTAAGCTAGCAACACTCTCTGCCTCAGCCTCTCTCGTGCCCCACATATCGCTGAAATTGAACAACAGAAACGCTGCCTCAGTCAAGACGTGGCATTGGCATGGGCAGATTGTCAGCCCACTTGAAGCCAGCCTCATTGCAAAACTTGTTAGCGCCGCCACCGTCAAAGACTCGCCACGTGCCAATCAATGCATCATACTGCCGGCGCAATTGCCTGTCAGATGGCCAGGTCAAGCAGCGAATCGCTTTGCCCACAAGGACAGCACTGCCAGGGCACCAGACACCAAGAACTCATGCATTTGCAGAGCGTTTCGTCTTGGCCGGGCAGCTGGTAGAGTTGTCGCGAAAATTGCAGGGCAGATTACCTTGGCGTGTTGGCAGCGTGCTGAATGTGTTGCCAGATATTCCATCTCGAGCGCGCAGGGCGTGTGTCTTCTCGGATGTGTTGCAGTTGCATGTGTCCAAGACATGCTGCAGGGCACTGCGTTTGCATGCTAGCAGCGTCCGAGATGCATTCCAGGAGTTGGCGCGCAACACATTTCAGATGGCAGAGTTGTCGCAGAACCCGGTGAAAATTGTAGGGCAGATTACCTTGGCGTGCTGGCAGACTTCCAGATACTTCCATCTCGCGCCCGCGCGGGGCGCATGTGATGCAGTTGCATGTGTCCAAGACATGCTGCAGGGCATTGCCCTTGCAGGCTAGCGGCATCCGAGACGCAGTTCTGGAGTTGCCTTGCGCATGGGCGCAGCACGCGGCACATTTCCGCCACTGCGTAGTTCATAGTCTTGCAGAGGCAGCTGGCAGAGTTGTCACAGAACCCGGAGAAAACTGAAGGGCAGATTACCATCGCGTGACGGCAGAATTGTGAATGTGTTGCGAGATATTCCATCTCGCGCGCGCGCGCTCGGGGCGTGTGTCTTCTCGCATGTGTTGCAGTTGCATGTGTTCAAATCCTGCTGCAGGGCATTGCCTTTGCATGCTAGCAGCATCCGAGTTGGATTGCCTTGCACACGGGCGCAGCGCGCGACACATTTCAGTTACGTTGTAGAGCATTTGACAGTCTTGCCCAGACAGCGGGCAGAGTTGTCGCAGAACCCGCAAACGATTCGCGTTCTGGCAGAATTCCAGATATTCCATCTCGCGCGCGCGCGGGGCGTGTATCTTCTCGCATGTGTTGTAGTTGCATGCGTCCAAGACATGCTGCAGGGCACTGCCCTTGCATGCTAGCAGCGTCCGAGATGGATTGCCAGGAGTTGCCTTGCGCACGGGCGCAGCGCGCGACAGGTCCAAGACAGGCTGCAGGGCGTTGCCCTTACATGCTAGCATGCTGGCAGCTTCCGAGATGGATAGTTGGGCGCAGCGCGTGACACGTTTCAGCCACCTTGCCAAGCATGACATTAAATCTTGGTCGGGCAGCTGGCAGAACACAGAACCCGGGAAAACTGCAGGGCTGATTACCTTCGCGTGATGGCTGTGTTGTGAATGTGTTGCCAGATATTCCATCTCGCGCGCGCATGGGGCGTGTATCTTCTCGCATGTGTCCAAGACAGGCTGCAGGGCGTTGCCCTTTCACGCTATCATGCTAGCAGCGTCCGAGATGGATTGCCAGGAGTTGCCTTGCGCACGGGCGCAGCTCGCGGCACATTTCAGCCACCTTGAAGAGCACTTCATTGAGTCTTGGCCGGGCAGCTGGCAGAGTTGTCAGATATGCCAGCTCGGCGCGGCGCGAACAAACTACGCAGCGTATTGAGTTCGAAAAGGATGAGGTTAAGCTTGGTTGACATGGTGTAAGTTGTTTTATATGATGAATGACTTCATGGGTGCATTGTTTTTTTACAGGATTAATGCTGAGATCATTTGATCAGTTTTGGGTGGGCTGTTGAATGGTGTGAAACCATAGCGTGGGGTTTTAAATTCTGTGGTGTGGTCTGGGATATGAGCGGGGTTGAAAGGCGCTGCTTGCTTGTTGGCCATCCCGACCTGCGCAGCTCCATTTGCGAGGCACCACGGTTGTACAGATCCCATCCCTAGTGCCGTCAATTTGATTCCCGGAGGCAATGAAAAAACAGAGGGTTCAATACGAGCCTCCGGAGCTGCCCGCGTCGCCTGAATGCAACTTGGCAAGGTGTGCTTGGGATTTGGGCGCTGTGAAATGGGGTTTTGAAACCGGCCATTGTGTTTGGGACTCTCCCTTTTTTTTGAATCCGGCGCATGGGACCCTCTATGATACTGACGGACAAATGCAACCGATTGGTACGGATATTGAAAAGGCCGTTTAGTGAATCCCGATCAATCGTGGGATGACCGAGCCCAAAATAGTGAGTTTTGACCAATCCAAACATGGGCATTTGTCTTGGTGTTTGGTATTGGTTTTGTCTCCAAATTGGGCAAACAAACATGAACGTTTCACTGTCCATGTTTCTCAATTTCAACCATTCGAGGTTTCCATCTTTTCAAACACACCCGATATACCCATATGTCCAATGGCGTAAGTACCATTGCGGTTTTGATTGAATTTGATCTGCAGCCATGTGACATCAAAACTGGGACCTTGGAACAGTGGAGGCTTTCCCAAGAAATCTGGATTCCACCATTTGTTCTGGGGAGCCATTTGGACAGTTTGCAGTGGCTATATCAACAACTCTGACTGGGAACTGCTATGGTGAAAACACATGGCGATATTTTGATTATCGGCATGCACGCTGTAATAAATTTCGACTGAGAACCAGCAAGGTTGGTAGGGAGGCAAAACGAAGGAAGATAGATGGATAGATGGATGAATAGTATGCAAGCATCTATACCTAACATGTCACTCAACATGGCCCACATTGTAGGGTTCTGCAGGACTAAGCACATCACAGCACCAGGTACAGATCCTGGAGACACAGGGCATTGCGGGCCAAAAGATCTGGAGGAGATCCATTTGGAGCTGCAGATTTGCAGCAAATGCACCAGGAAATCCAAGAAGAAAGGCAGGGGGCGGAGTGGAGTGGTGGCTACTTGCAGATCTTGCTTGGGTCACATCAACTGCCAGGTGAATCAATTCCTTATACAATCCGGGTTCTACTATCCTAGTAGGTGTTATCATGATCCATTGTCGGAATCCCTATGAACCAACCAGTCGAACCGATTTGCGACCAGGATCTTCACAATGCTCCGTCGACATCAAGTACCTAAGTACCTAGAGATGTGTTTTGTGGTTAGCAGACGCTGGAAACTGCTGGACCAGCCTTTGCGACCACCAGCCTCGCTCTATGGAGAAGATATAGCTCTTAAATAAATTGCAGAGCCCTTAAAAATCCAAGAACAAAACTTAGCGAGCCGCAAACGTAAACGCCGGCCGTGGAGATTGCGGCTTCATGCTCTTGCGCTTGCCACGGTGCCTGCTCAGAAAATCGCAAAACACACAAACAAAGCACACAGCAACAAACAAATGTCCACGAGGCGGGGCAAATACCCCGCCTCCCTCATCTCAACAACCCCGCGCGCGTGGGGCTGCTGAGTGCCGAGGTTCCGATCGATAGGTATATCTGGTACAGATTCGCTGATGGATCCTCCCAGGACTCCAGAAGAATGTGAACACGTCAGTAAGGGAAGAGCTGGCGATGGGGACAGATAACCAGACGCCAAAAGGACCCTACGAAGTTGGGATAGACGGGCGAAGGGCCTGCAAGACTTCTAGACCTCCAGATGTATCCCCTGAGGAATGGAAGGAGATGTCTCATGTTGACAGAATGATGTGGGAGTATGCAGCCGCCGAAGTTGAGAAAGACAGAGGGACTAGAAAGGAGCATCAAGAAGGCAGAAAAGAAGGCAGAGAAGCTGAAGGACAAGGCCAAGAAGTCGAAAGACAGCAAGGATGCTGCGAGAGAGCGCCAAGGATGCCAAGAAGCTGCGCAAAGCAGATCGACAGTGCTCAGGATAGAAAAACCATGAAGAAATTGGGTTCCGTATCATTGAGGATAAATGGGGTACGGGAGATTGGATACGCAAACCCGTCGAGAAATGGGAATGCAATGACAGCAAAGCATGGCGAACACTTTCTCAGAAGGCCAAGGTAAATGACACGAAAGTGGCTGCCGGGCTACAGCTACAGCTACTCTACTTAGTGGGTTCAGAAACTGCCCTTCGGACACCTGTCAGAAACTGGTTTAGGCGTTAATCGCAACTCGCTTGCCGTGCCACTGCTACCCACAAAGTAGAGCAGCTATAGCCTGGCAGCCGCAGCCCTGCAGCAAGCCCAGGACCAGCCAACACAGCCGGGCAAGGGCAGGCCAGCTACAGCCTACGGCAAGCGAATGGATGGCGAGGCCCCGGCGAACTTGGCAGATAGCTTGGCAGCCACAGCCCTACGCCGGCAAGGGCGCCCCCGCTACAGCTTAGTGCTGCAGCAAGCACGGGGCCAAGGCACAGCCGGGTCGCACCCGGCGAAGCCCCGCGAACAGCCTCGACGGCAGGAGTGAAGTGATCGAAGTGAGAGTGAGTGAGAGTGAGAGTGAGAGAGAGTGAGAGCGAGTGAGAGTGAGTAAGGGTGAGTGAGTGTGAGCGAGTGTGAGTGAGTGTGAGTGTGTGTGTGAGTGAGTGAGAGAGAAAGACCGACTAACTTGGCAGAAAGCTAGGGCTGCTAACGCCGTTTGATGGGACCTTCGGTGTCCCAGGCGCCGCCCCGCCTGAGCACGCTCCTAGGTGGGGTCGGCGGACACCGGCTGCCATCTTGGGTAAGTTATTTTGCGCCGGCTTGACCTCCCACCTTTCACCTTCTGACCTTCTGCTTCCACCGTCACCTTCCAGAATTTTGGTGGAACACTTCGGTCTCGATGCGTCAGCCGCTGCGCAACCACTTTGCCAACCTTCAGGTTGTGCGAGGGGGGGCCGGGCGCAGCACAATCAAGCTTGCTCCCCCCCCCTCGCCATGGAATGAAAGCAGCAGAGGCATACCCTCGGCCAAGGGGACTTGAGTTCTGTGAGGGCAGCCGAGCGATCCGCGCTTCGCGCGCATGATCGCCTTATTGCACTTCGTTTGCCGCACGCCACCAAGCACCCGCAGGCGTGCGGCGTCCGGGCGCTGCGCTCTCCTGTCATGCGCCGGAAAGGTGAAGAGCGACTTTCGGCGACCGCGCGCTCAGATCGGCGGCGAAGCACCGTCGTGTTGGCTGCGGCCCTTGAGTCCGCTACAGCCTTGTGTGGAGCGAGCTGTTGCGGCGGTCACGTGTTAAAAATTACAACACATGACCGAATAAGCAAGTTATGGACATGTCGGCTACCCGTTTTGTGACAAAGCTTTTCTTCCCCGCCCACGATTCCCGATGTGTGCCCCTTCCATCGCATGCCTCCGCCCTGATTGGGGAGTTTGAGAAAGCCACTTGCTTTGCCTTAGTGATTGGAGCCACCAAGCCGGTGTGCACGTTGCTGGCGAGAAGATGCCGTTTTTTGTTTCTGATGACATGGCTTTCTTTGCATCAGCCAAAGTTTTTGGCAACACACACACACACGCGCGCGTGGCCTCACTATAGCGTGCTAAGGCATTGCGGTTGTGACACGGTTCCGCAACCAGTTCTTCTGTGTTGGGATTCTGAGCGTGCCAGCTACGCTCATGAGGTGGCTTTGATCCAGTGAAAGCATTTCAAGATCTTCCACTGGACGTGCGACCTGCGAAGTGCTTCAAGCAGTGCAAGAGGGGACCCAATGCCAGACTGGTGCGTGCCGGCCATCGCAAGCCCTTGGCGGTCGATGGCATGACTCTTGGATTTGACTGACTTCAGACAATGCCACCCTCGCGTTCCAACATGGAAACGGAACACGGCATTGTTTACTTTTTGAGAGCTTTCATGTTTTTTCCTTCCGATGGTTTGTTGGTTTGGCCAATGCTTGTGGAATCGACACTAGCCACTTGGGAATGACCTTCATTTTCTTCTTTTGCTTGGGCTGCCCTGTCAACCACTGAAGCTGGGTAGTAGTGTCGGTTTCTTTTTCACACTTGATGCTTTTTGGGTTGATTAATCCACCAGATATGATGCAACACCTGATCATTAGATTCCTACAGTCTCTCAGACAATGCTTTCCCAAGACATCCCAACAGAGAGACTTTGGGAAACTCAAACCATGTGATCATGGGTCGTTTGGTTTTCCTTTGGGCAGGCCAGGCTGCAGGTCCATTGTTGGAGAGTCGCGAACTTAGGACAGAGAAAGAAGCAAAGCACAAGTGCTTTCACGACATCAATACAGCCGCTGATGCTGCGCGAGTGGCCAACCTTATCCAGAAGGTGACAGGACAGGCTGGGATCAAAACTGATGGCCAAAAGCGCTGATGATGACAAATAAATAAAGTGCGTATCATTGAATTCGTACATGTTTTCAGACAGCCCAAATCAAACATCAAACGCAACATAGTGACATAAACATATTCTGTTGGTGCATCTAGGCGAAAGCAAACGGGAGCGGGAGATGTCAATGATTGATGTTGACTTTTGAGAGACCGCTGCATATGTCAACCATTGGTTATCAAGTTATCAACATCGATAATGGCAACAATTATGGGGCGACAAATTTGTTTTGAACATGTTGACTTCTGTGACTAGTTGATCAACCTGCCGGACTGAAAGATGCGCCAGCTTTGTTCTGATTCTATCACGGATGTTGGCAAGGTTTTTCACTCATGTTTTTCTTGTTCATAGATGATGCCTCTCGTACTGTCAGGAGCAATATACTATTCTGCCCTTGAGGAAACTTTGTTCGTACCTTGAGCATGTCAAACACTTGGCCTCCATTTTAAGGTTGCTGAGAGCAAACAAGGCGCGTAAAAACCTGAAGTTTGCTTGCAGCAGCTGGCCAGTTTTAATGAACCGCTAGCTCCTTGCATAAGTTATCACGAGCGTAGCAGCATCTGCATGGACAAGACCACGTGAGTGCGAGCATGTCTCCACCTCAGGATGTTGTTGCTGCAACAACACGCATAGCGGCATTGGCTTCTGTGTTCATAAGCTAATCCGTCCTCCCACAATCCCACCTCTCACCAATCTCTCACCAATCTCTCACCAATCTCTCACCAATCTCTCACCAATCTCTCACCAATCTCTCACCAATCTCTCACCAATCTCTCACCAATCTCTCACCAATTTCAATTCCCTGCTCAAAAGCACAAGTGCTGGGCGGAGTTTTTGGCGCGTAGGCAAATTCACATGTATATATATATATATTAAGTTCTGTTAAAGTGGAACTAACTGTGTAAACACCTGATGACCTAAATGTGTCAATCCTGTGAGGTGACAGCGCGGCACTTGTTGTACTCAGCGGGCGAGGGCTGTAGGCTCTATCATGTAGATAGGCTCAAGGCCTTGATGACAAAGGCCATGGTCATGTACAAGGATGGATGTACATTAACACCCCTCCTCAAATTGTGCTATGTTAGCACACTTTGCCAAAATGTACAAATGTCCTTGTGGATTAGGATGAAGTAAGAAACCGCTGCATGTAAACTGATAGCCAGAAAGCAGATGTACTGTACATCGATGTCCCTTGCTGTCGGATCAATTGCCCCACAAATTGCGGTGTGCCATTGTGGCAAAGTGTAGAGGTCTGTTGTACTCGCTGTAGCCAACTTGCCTTCGCTCATCAGGAGCAGTGTTGTCATCGCCGCGTCATGTGGATTGGTTGTAAGGACTGTAAAGTCGAATGACGGGCAACGCAAGATGCCCGGGATGTATCCGATCTTCTCCAGCGATGTCGGAGCTGTGTCTCCCACAAAGGAGATATACTCCTCAGTGGTGAGGGCGATGTACAGCGCATGCTGTGATTGGCCAACGAGAGGTTGTGCCAGGCTGTAATGCCACGGTCTGTGCCCTTGATGTTGTCAGCCCTGATGAAGCCGATGTCGACCACAGATGTGGTCACGCGGTCGTTGTATCTCTACGGGCACGTGCGATCATGGGCAGAGGTGTGGTTGGCTGCATGTCCATTGCGATGTTTGGACACGATGTACCTCCAGACCAAACTGATGTAAACAAATGGCTGCAGAGATATATCAATACATTGTTTGAGACATGTGCAAACTCGCGTGCAAATGTAGCTCCCAAAGCATGTTGGGGAAAAGGTGTAGTGGTCATAAAAAAAGGGTCGATCCATGGCTGATGTATCTAGGTGGTAAGGCAAACATGTGTGAACTGTGCACCTGTTGTTTAACAACCTGTGCTGACTACTGTACTTACTGGTGTGAAACTGTTGTGGTGTGACCTTACGGGCCAACGTTGTACAGGTGTTTGTTGAGTGTGTCGCTGCCAACAAAGTTGGTAAGAATGTCGGCGGCTGTGTTGTCTTCTGACTTTACCTTGTGCATGGTGATGATTTTGCTTTTGACAAGTTGTATGAAGAGGTGTCGCAGCTCGATGTGCTTTGCTTTCTTTGATGTACCTTCTCTCATTGCTATTGGTTTTGCTGCGCTGCTGTCTGTGTGTGTCCTGATGTTGGTGCGTACTTCAAACGCTTCCTTGATGAAGTTGCTGATGTAGAGGCTCTCCTGCTGATGAAAGTGCTATTGTTGCTTGTGCTCTGCTGCCACAATGTATTGCTGCTCCAGAGAAGTACAGTGCAACTCCTGTTGTGCTTTTCCTTGTTGTGTTACACTAGTTGGCATCTGTGTATGTGTCAATGTTGAGTGGATTTCTTTTATCCTGTGTTTGTATCTTTGGTCGCAGGTTGTGTCGCGAGTACCTTGTTCCCTTAAGGTGTCTGATCATGTGCTTGAGCTTCTTGTTGTCGAGTTGGGTTGGTGCTGTTCTTGATCTAGTGGTGCTTCATCTGCTGCTGTGCAAGGTGTGGTACTCCTGGTGATGGTGCTGGGTTGCATGTAGTCATTCCTGATTCTTCCAGGATGATGTCAACATAATTGTTGTTCAAACTGATGTCGATGTAGTTCCTGCCAAGGAAATGTACTGTTGATCCAACTGTTAGGTCGCCAGTGTGTCTCAGCAAAACTTCCTTTTGTATTCTGCTGAAGAGCGTGTTGATGATGCTCTGTACTCCTATGAAGAGGAGGTCGTCTACATAGATCATGATGTAGACCTGACAGTGTTTTGATCTGTAAACATTGCGAGGATGTGTGCTCTGTGGTCTTGCCATTGTTTTGGTGATGATCGTAGGCCATAAAAGGCTTTGTTCGGCCGCCACATTATGTGTCTGTTTTCATCATTGTAGAACTCATGTGGCCAATGCTATTGTGAGGAGTATCCTCAGTGTGCAAAACAATGGTGTACTTGCAAACAAGAGATCGTGGTCTGTAACGGGTTCTGTGTAGCCCTTTGCTACTATGCGTGCTCGCACTTCCTTGTGTTTCTGTTTAAGAACCCATCTAGACTCGATGATGTTTGCTTGTTGTTCTGGTGTCATTGTGTGCCATCAATCTCTGTGAAGACTGATTGATCTTTCATTTGTTGTACTTCCTTCTTCATTCCTTGTGCTACCTGTTGTGGATCCAAGCCTTCTGTGTCATGTATGATTGGCTCGATTGGCTCTGGTAGGATCCTTTCATTGTTGATTTCTTCTGCATCTTCATTGGATGTTGTTTGCATTTGTGTACTATCCTTTGTTGTGAACTCGATGGCATTTATTCTCATTTTGCTCTTTGGCTGTTCTGATGTTGTAGGTCGCTCAAGTGCTTGTCTTTTGCTTGGTACGCTGTTGCTTGCCTGTACTGCCTTCTACTATGGTGTGATCTCTTTCTCTTGTGGGTGGTGTGGGCGGTGGTGCTGGCAGTGCTGTTCGCTTCTGGTGTGTTGGTGATGTAGCCATGGGTGATGTTGGCTCTGTTGTTCTTTTCTGCTTTGTTGGCTGATCGCCTGCTTCTGTTGCGCTCTGTCTCTTGCCTTCTGCTGCTGTGCTAGTTGTTGCATCTCTCTGTGATGGTGGTGCCTTGCTTGTAGCTGGCGTTGTCAATGGTGTTGCGTGAGTTGGTGTGTGCAGTGCTGATGCTGGTGTCTTCCATGGACCTGTGCGTACACAGTCCAGTAGTTGCTGATTGTATTTGTGAGGCATAATCTGCCTTCTGATTGTCCTTGCCATGACAATCTTATTGTAGATCCCAACAAGGGATTCGCCTGCCAAGAAGGGATTCGTGGTTGTATCCTTGCCAAGCCAGATCCCATTGTTTCACTGTTGGTAGCATGTGTTGCACTGTCTCACCAAACTCGCAAGCTTGTGCATCCATGGCTGTGAACTGCGTACCTGTTCATGATGTATGCACTGTGTCGAACTATCCAAGGCATGAGTGGATGTGTGTGCTCGCTCTACTCCTCCTTGTGATTGTGAACTGTATGCTCCTGAGTTCCTTGTGATGTTGCCATTCTTGTTGGCCACTGCTGTTGTGAGCCCTGTCAGGAAGTCTTCCTGATCTGATTGTAGTATCGTGTGTGTTGTCCTTCCACACTTCTCAATTGTAGTGGTATGATTATTTCTGATTGGATGTCAATGGCTGTGAGAATTGGGTGTACATTGCTATCATCAAAGCCTTTGATGTAGCCGAAGTCAAGCCGTATGATTGGAAGCTTGCTATGTTGCTTTGGATGATTGTTCTGTCTGCCTCTTGCTCGCATATTGGACACCAACTCCTGTAAGGGAGATGTGTCACGTTGTGCTTGAGTATCTCCTGTGGTGTTGGTTGCTTGGGTGCTTGTACTGCTTTTGCTTTTGTGCCTTGTTGTTGTTCCTTATCATCTGACTCAAGTTGTGTTGGGAACTCCTGATGTTCCTCAAAGTTTGTCCAGCCTGTCCAAGGCTTGTCTGATGTCTTTGCTGGCTGTGTTGTCCATTCATCTGGTTGTACCTTGGTCTGTCTCCAAGGTATGAGTCGTTTGCTGTCTGGCCCGTCGTGTGTCTGCTCTCTTATATAAAACGCTGTTCTAGGCTCAACATGTGCTCTTCCAGTATGGGCCTTCTCTGTACCAGTAGTCTCCTCCAGGATGTATTTCTGAAGGATGTGGAACTGCTGACTCCTGTAGTGTTGGTGGTGTTGTTTTCTCTCTCAACCTCGTTCGTGGGTTGTAATGAATCACCTGTGGCGTGATCCTCTGTGGCTCGCTCCTTGGCTGTGTCTTTGTTGTAAACGGTTGCTGTAGTGTTTCTGGCAACTTTGTGCCTTTCTTGATCCTGAAGGCTGTCTCGCCTTTCCACATCTGTGGTTGTGCTTTGTTTGGACCCTCTGTTGTTTGACACTTGTCCTCAAATGTATTTGTTGTGCCGCCCGTGGACCTGATTGTTGTTTTGCTGTAACCCTCTAGTTGCTCTGCTGGAACTGGACACTGTGTTCTTGATGGTGTGAAAAGTGTCTTCCTGTATTGCCTGTGTACTCTGACAAGTTCTCCTTGTGTGTTGAACTGCCAGTAGTCTCCTGCAAGTCCTGTGTCTGCAGGACCTTGTGGTGTAAGCGTTGTGGTCGGTGCTATCATGCCAATCTGTCCTTGTTCTGTGTTGTGTATCTGTAGCTTTGTTCCTGGCAATGTTGTGATTTCTGCTTGTAGGAAGAACAGGCCATTTCTGTTCTCCAGAGTGCTGTTAAAGTGCTGTAGTCTTGGATTGTCATCCAGTGTAAGTTGGAAACCTTGTTCCACCAGCCTTGTAACCGAAAGAATTTGCTGTTTAACCTCACAAACGTAAAAGGGTATGACAATCTGTTGTCCGCTGTGGTTTGTCATGCAAACCCACCTGTGCCCGTGAAGCTTGATGTGCTGGTTGGTTACTGTTCGCAGTTGTGGTCCTGTGCCATGTGCTAGTTGGTGTAGTGGAAATTGTGATGCAAACCATAGCGCGCGTACTTGTGTAGCCGCACCGCTGTGAATCATGAGACTGACCCATTTGTTGTCTTCTGATGGTTGTTGTGTTGTGCCAAGCATGGCGATGGTTACTTCATAAACCTGAGATAGGTACTGCTGATGGATCTGCTACCTGTGGTGGTTGTGGTAGTGCTAGTTGGTGCATCTGTGACTGATGATCCTGATGATGCCAGTTGTTGTCGTAGTGTGCCTGATTGTACCAGTCATCTGTCTGGTCATTGGTGTCAAAAATTCCTGTGTCACAGTTGTAGATCGCCGCTCTGCATTGTGTGGCCATGTGTCCTGGTTGTCCACATCTGTAGCAAACATTTGTTGCTTGGCTTCCTTTTGCTCCTTTTCCTCCTTGTTGCTTGTTGTAGTAGTCCTTCGAATGGATTTCCTTGTCCAATTGTTGATTGTACTTGCCTTTTTATCCTTTGTAGTTGTTGTTGCTGTAGCCTTTGCCTTTGTTTACTTTCCTTTGCCCTTGTGCTTGCCCTTCTTTCCTTTTCCTTTGTTGTATCATGTTGCTCCTATGTCCATCGGTGCCGGTCCTTGATTGTTGCTGCCTGATGTGATTGGTTGTAGCCTGGTGAATGATGCTGTTGCTCTGTAGTACTCGATTACCATTGATCTGATCTGCGCATATGTTGTGATGCTTCCTGCTTGAAGTTGTAGATGTTGCTGTAGTGGTCCTTTTGTCTCATTGAGCAGTATTGCCATCTCGACTGCGCCTGGTAGTAGTGTGCTGTTGTACCTGGAGAGTTGAAACTCCCATGTTGTGAAGCTCTCTTGGAACTTCTGTTCATCAAGTTGTGGTTCGAGTAACCTTGTTAGGTACCCAATGCTTCGTGTGCCAAGTGGTATGGAGTATCTTGTATGTATCAGCCGCCATGTTTCAACTCCGTCGCCTTGCATGTTTTGCCTGCAAATTGTAGATGCTGGTCCATCGCATGTGCTCACCAAGAGGTAGTGTAGATTGTTGCTGAGTTGTACCCATTGCTCTGCTACTGCTTGTGAAGGTGCTGCGTTCTCAAGTTGATCGATTGCTCTGACTGTTTCAACAGTCTGTTGTATCCTGGGTCTCGTAATCCCAAGTATGCTGTCATCTTGTACTTCCATTCTTCGAAGGTGTTGTGTTCTCCTGTGAACCGTGGTGGTGATATCTTGTATCTGTGGATTCCTTCCAACTGCTGTTGTTCCTGTTGCTGCTGTTGTTGTGCCATGTTGCTCACTACTGTGTACCTAAACCTGTGGGTGTGGAGCTCACCCTGGGTTGTGGTCGTGGATCGTGTGCCAGGGATCACTGCTCCGCTACCATGTTAAAGTGGAACTAACTGTGTAAACACCTGATGACCTAAATGTGTCAAACCTGTGAGGTCACAGCGCGGCACTTATTGCACTCAGCGGGCGAGGGCTGTAGGCTCTATCATGTAGATAGGCTCAAGGCCTTGATGACAAAGGCCAAGGTCATGTACAAGGATGGATGTACATTAACAAGTTCCAATACATACATGTATATATATATATACCTACATATATATACATATATATATATATATATATTATAAGCATAATTGATGAGCTATTGGGTATCCAAGATGAATGAGAACTTGTAAACAGTGGATTTTGCATGGTTTTCAAAGTCCTTGAGGAGCGCAACTTGCCGAACTTGCTGGCGAGTCGGAGAGTGACAGCTCCAGCGATTCCTAAGAATTTCTAGGATGGGCCGCGGGGCCGCGCAAGGGGCGCGGCCAAGTTTGAGATGTGCCAAGTTTCTGGGATACGACGATATTGAGGCCATCATTGTTGCTTATAAGGTGAGTTCGTCAACTGTGAGCCGTCTCATTGAAGTTGGATAGTCTTACACGTGCTCCGAGCAAGGCCGACAGTTGACTCATTGAGTTTGAACAGGTAGTCACACATTCCTATTCAGTCCATGAGATGTTTGGGATGTGAAAACCAGGATGCCGGGGTGTCGACCCGAACGTACCCCAACTCATATTTATATGTGCTAATAGGATTACTATAGTTTGTGACGCCTAAAAGTGCAAAATACAATCACAGTTGAACTTGTCTCGACCGTACCGAAACATATAGTGCACTGCTTCTTCACATATGAGAGATGGAACCCCACAAACGCAAATATGAATATACATCAGCCTTTCCCTAGTGAGGAAAATGCATTTGAGAATTGCGTACCCCACGACTTCGAATAGGAGACCAGTTGGTCCTCTAAAGGACAAAAGAAACAAATGTAAATCTGGAGTTGTTGGTCCATCACGTCTTCCTTGTTTCTCTTGGAAGCCTCAATGGCCTCCTCCTATTTGGTGATACCGCCATGATTTGCCGATGCCAATGTGTGATTCTTGTGCAGGGATCACTGGGCCAAACGGAAAAAGGTGTGCAGGGTCACAGGGCCACACTGAGAGAGGTTGACTTGATTCTTGGATGGGATTCGAAGACTGTAATACCTATAGTGTCAGTGATTTATTCATGAACTATCAAGTATCAACTGCGGAATGGCCACGGTCAACAACAACAACTATCCTAACAAAAACATCGGATTCATAAACATCCCCCAAAGACTAAGACTAATTGCGATCTGGCTTGCTTTTTTTGGGATTTGAGGACTTACGACCTATAGTTCAGCAGGGCGAGATGCGGATTCTTGCGGATTGGCACGGTACCAAATGCTCGAGGACGGGTGCTTGTAGTTGCCCAGTGTTTTTGTTGTTCTTTTCTTTAAATGCCGAGCTTGCCACCTGCATCCCGCTTGACACACGTTGCGTCATGGTGCATCAACTGCTAATTGAACAGGCACTGCAACTCATTTTGAACGTTGCCTACAGCATGTGCCACTATGATAACGGCGTACTAGGATAACGGAATCATAGTCAATATGGTGGCATTGTTGAAGCACTTGCATGCAAGATCCCTACAAGGCAACAGTGATGGTCGCGATTTTAGGGTTCGTTCACAGCTTACAGAAGTTGGTGCTCAGCATCATTGATGTCTACAAATTATTTGCATTATCATATACTTGTCAAATTGTCTAGGCACCGATCGTGCGTGACGGCAGCAATCCAGTTTAGAGTATTTGACGAGTTCTCGCAAACCGATCGCATGTTGGTGCTTTTGCACGTGATTCGACATTTGCTGACTTGTGGGCTGATCGTGCGGCTGTGCGGGATGCAGTTGATAAATCAGATTTACAAGAATACCCAGCCAGACAACAAAGTCACAAACTGGGATGACATCAAGCTGCATCCGATTCAGTGAACGTTGAGCGAGAGGTCTGGTGGATTCCTTTTGTTTGGCAACAGGTGCTTTGACAGGTGCTTTGACAGCTCCTCACTCGGAATGAAGGGCACGGAATTGGAGCCCTCAAGCCCCCCCTCACACAATTATTACAACCACGTGCCAAACTGCATGGGAGTTCCCGCGCAATGGAGCCTTGCTTCCAAGCGCGGCTCCAGGTGCCCGAGCCGACAACACCATGTCAGAAGAGTTCTGCAAAGTGGCAAATATAATATATATATATATATATATTATACATATTGTGCAGGTGGGTCTACGCCAACATTGAGGTGCACTTGGGGAATCCTGCGAGAATTCCAGCTCACGATGTCGCTTTGGCAGATGTGGCAGGTCTGAGTGCTGCGCGAAACCGTGGCACCATCCAAGGCCGTGTCAGAACAGACAAAACAAGCTGATGGCACTGTAGTTGAACGCTTTGATGAGACAGCGGGGAGGCATGAAGGCCAAATGCATGTTGAGCCCTGGCAAGGACTTCCGTGATGTCTGACGCTGTGGCCTCGGCTTTGAGAGGGAACACCGTGTCGAAGACGAAGCTTTCCTAGGGCGATGACTTGGAGAAGCAGGCTCAGGACCTTGCAACGTGTGTCCTTTCGTAGTGCCCGTGCATTCCTTGTGCCCGCCTTCCGCTTGAGGAGATGGCTGAGAAGGCTTTGCCTGCCAGCTGGGAACTCAGCGCGAAAAAACATCCCTGCGAGCCAATTTGAGAACCCGAAGCCGATCCGAACAGAAGATTGGCAATGGCCTTTTTGCTTGGCGATTCCGGTTCCATGACCGGTGACATGTTGAAGGAACCTTGTTTCCCAACAGGCGTAATGCAGCCAACCGTCCAAGAACGGTTGACGAGTGCCACTCCAGTCACCCAGTCACCCAGTCACCTCACCCGAAGTCTCGTTGACTCGGCTGTTGAGGCCTCCCTGAAGCTGCACGGCGGGCAAAGCTTCCGGCGGTCAAGCAGAAAATCCTGGAGCGCCTGAAGGCGGGGCAGGGGCCCGCATTCCATCTCTCGGAATGTTGCTTCCGCTTGGTTCCCGTTGAAAGGAAGCTCAAAAGGGGAGTTGGCCGAGCAACCAACGCACTCATTTGGGTATCTGACATCAGGCAGGGCAAACCCATCATTTTGAGGGGGTGGATTGGATTCTTCATTTTGATTCATTCAGAACTGCCACCCGCAAAGTCACCCGAGCAGAGGACTCTTGTTGTTTTTCGTTTGGAGAGACCTTCAGGCGCAGAAGGTGGAGAAGGCCTCGAAGCCGGTGCAAGCAGGACCCGTGCGACAGCCTGTTTCAACGCTGTTAATGGCAGCGGCGTCCGGTTGTTGTTCCTTGAACTGCCAGCCAAAAGGGGGTCCACTTTTGACACCTGGTGAATGTTGATGGCAGTGAGCACCAGGAGCCATGGTCCCGGTTGGGCAGCCTCAGGCAGGTGTGGGGCGGGGGTTGGAGGTTTCAAGGGGCAAGCTGTCGGAAGTCTTAAGCGAGTGACAAGATTCTGACAAGATATCTTCCGTTAGACCTGTGTTTGAGGCACCCAGCCACACCCCCCCGCCGCCGCCGGGGCAGCCGCCAGCGCCGCCACCGCCGCCCTCAGATGTGGTGCGGGAGCCCGGAAGGGCAGGCAAATGACTTGGGTTCCCTATATTGCCCCTTTGGGGTGGTTTAAACTTAAACATGCCAAAACAGTGACTTCGCAAAGGCAGCACCGGCATTTGAATGCCAAAACAGCGGTTCAAAAACAGGCCATCTTTTTGAGCCTGCCAGAGTGTTGGAGCTCAAAAGAGAACATTCGATCTGGACAAATCCGGGGTTCTACGTGTGTAGTGTTTTGATCTAGTGAATCTAGTGTTTGTGAAGGACCCCTCCAAGTGATTGGTGGAGTTCTAGGTTGTTTGCAAATGGACACACGGATCCGTTTTGACAAATGCATCGAGAAGTCGTCCCTAACAGTCGCGAAGCTAACTCAATGTCAGTTTGGCCAAGAGATAGGGCTACGATCAAAAAACCTCATCGCAAACAGGAATATCAATTTTCTCAATGGATTGGCCCCAAAGAATCAACATGGGAAAATGAGATGTCAAGGAAGTAGCAAGTCCTGAGATTGCCATGTGCGCAGGCATTTGTGCGGGGGTGTGACGGAGTGTTTCGCAGGTGTGCTTACCATGCGCCAGGCATGTGCGCAGGCGTGCGACGCAGTGCTCCGTGGGTGTGCTTGTGCCAGGCATTATTGCAGGCGTGCGATGCAGTGCTCCGCAAGTGTGCTTACCATGTGCCAGGCATGTGTGCAGGCGTGCGATGCAGTGCTCCGCGAGTGTGCTTACCATGTGACAGGCATGTGCGTAGGCGTGCGACAAATTGCTCCGCGGGTGTGCTTACCATGTGCCAGGCATGTGCGCAGGCGTGCGTCGAAGTGCGTGGGTGGGTGGGTGGCTGGGTGTGCTTGCCATATATGACAGGCATGTGCGCAGGCATGCGACAGAGCGCGTGAGCGGGTTTGTGTCTCAAAATAATCATGTTATGTGGGCCAGTGAGTTTTCTTTCGGTAGGGTGACGTTTTAGCTGTACTCGGCTGCTGTCGACGGCCGGCGCAGGGCGTGCAGCTTGTCAGACTAGACGGGGTCGAGATCTGCGGGGATGAGCCGTGGTGGCGAGCTCAGAGCGAGTGAGACGAGCTGTCCTGACTTCAGTCATGTTCCTGTGGGTTTGGTGAGATCCGCCAGCAAATGGTTCACCAGCATGTCAACTCAAGCATCCAGCCTCTGAGCCTCCAGACTCGTGTTTGAGGGCAACTTGACATTGCATCAGGGTCCCTGCTTCAGTCAATTGCTTGTGTTTCGACACAGGTTTGCAGATGCCGGTATTCGGCGGCGCCTCCGGGAGTCTGTCCGCGGCTTACGAGCCTTTTCCGCCTGTTATCCATGGAGTGCTCGGAAACTCTTCCAAACCTGAGCCTGATTAGCATCAGAAAGAGGTGATGTCGGTTACTCTCAAAATAGTGGAACCTGGGTCTTGAGTTGGTTGATTGTTTGTTTGTTTGCCCCATGCCATTCAGCCAAGGTGGCAGAGGCTCACAAGGAGCAGAAGATCCTCGTGGGTCCGCCGGCGGATGAGGTCTTGCGGATTTGCCCCGATGCAGGGGCCTTGGGGAACACGCAGCGGGAGATTTACAGTTGGTGCCTTCGGCCGAGGCTTTTGACGAATCATGATCACTTCCCATTTTGTCAACCCCTTTAAAACAGGCCCAAAAAGGGGTACCCTCAATCTCAAATCGTGCTTGGAACACTTGGTACGGAAAGTCAAGGGAAACCAACATGTCACCGTTGCCGTTTGGGTGTGTTTTTTCTACCAGTAAGTCAAAGGGTCATACCACCCATTTGGCAAAATGCCGGCTTCTGGCTTCTGACCCACAGTTCCCCAATGTGACAAGAAGAGTCACATTTCGCCGTTGACTAGTCAGTGCTGCGATAGCCTGTTGGAGGCTTTTGCAAGATGTACAGTTGGGTGAAAGTAGATGCAGCTGCCCCAATTGCGTTTATCATCCTGGTTTTGTCTAGGTTTTTGAAAGATATTTTTTGTCTCCAAACCTTCTTTTTTTTGGGTGGGTTCCGTTTGTCTTTTTTTGGGGGTCTCAAGCTTGTTTTTTTGGCTTCCCCCGTACCCAGTTTTAGTCAAAGGCTTCTTCCTGGGAAAAGGCCGGTCCGAGGACGGGCGCGTGCTGGGCGCGGGGGCAGTGCTGCGGCTCGGGGGCGCCCACCTGGGCGGCTACGGGGAGTCCGACATCGCCTACGCCTACCGCCAGGTCGCGATGGATCGTCCGGTTTCTTCCTTTGGACTCGCGATGGGTGAAGTTTGGTTGGACCTTTCTGACTCAGAAGTTGGGAACCAGAAGCAGATTTGATCCCTCTCCATTTGGTCAGGGGTTGGGAGTTGAGCGAAGTATGATAGAGCATTCGCGTCTTGAGAGCGGAGCACGTGCTTTGCCGCCAGCTGTCACGCGCCTTGCACCCCGACAAGAATCCGGACCTGGACAAAGAGCCGAGCCCAGTGACAAGATCCGAGTTGAGCCGAAGTGGTGTTGACTCCCATTGGTGGCTTCTGTCTAGCTTCCCTTTGACATGCCCGAAAAATAAGAAGCTTGAGCGGATCGGCATTGAGGCGCAGGCTGCTTTTCATAGACTTTCAGAGGCCCGGCAGAGTTGCAGAGCCGCATAATTTGTCACTCGCCTTCTGTGAAGGCTTCCGAAGAGCTTCGACAAGGGCTCCAGGAGCAGAGAAATGCACTGAAGTTAATTGTGCGGGCCTGAAGCCAGGCCCTGTGCTTCGGAGCGCGAGACTTTCTGAGGTTGGAGTGATGGGAGGCACAGCCACGGAGTCGATGCTGGAACGGCCACAGGAGGTGCCGCGAGTTGAAGCGTGCCATTGCCGCCATTGCCACCGATCTGAGGCTCTCTTTGCCGAGGCCAGCAGACTCTTGTGTGGGGCCTGGCCTGTTTTGATTTCGCTTCGAATTGGAGGCTCGCTCAGTCGCTCAAGCTTCTGCTGGCCAGGTGCTGTGTGTGGCATCGTCACCGAGGGGGAAGTGCCACATGCGGCGCAGGCAGGCCCAGGACTTGAATGAGGTGCTGGAAGGAATCAAGAAGTGTTCTTACTGCACGAAGTTGCCGAACTGCCTTACCTTATGTCAATGTGCAGGCACGTGCGCAAATGAAGTTTCAGCTGCTTGTCTGCAATCGGACTGAGGCTAGTGTGGCAGAGATGATATCAAGCGCAGCTGGTGTGCTTTTGCTTGTCATGTGCAAACACCGAGGCGTTCATCGCGCATGTTCTACAGTTGCCACATGCAGACGCTCATGACTGAATGGTGAGCCTGCCGGTTTTCAGTGAAGCTGAGACAGAACTCTTGCCTTCGATGAGGGGCATGAGAGTAGATGGCTCGTTTGAGCCCCTCGCTTCATTCTCAAGCGCCCATGCACTACCCGAGTTGCGCGTCCTCACAACCACGCCTCTGATTTGGGATTCTAGCAGGTTCGAGAGAACACATCTACTCGACCTATACGCCAGCGTGCCCACCTCAGCGGGTCGGGCAGCAATGTGAGCTGTGTTCAAATGTTCGTTGCGACGCTTTTGCCATTTCAACAGGAAGGCTTGTCCCCCTCCCTTTCCGGCGGACGAGTTTGGAAAGCTGCTCAGTGGCAGCCGAGGTGCCAATCAGGACAGCATACGATTGCGCAAAGACCTCAGCATTGCACGAGCCTACCAGCATTTGGCATTTTACGATTGACCATTTTCTGCGTGGCTTGCCCATTGCACAAGGGCCCCATGGCCTATGTGAGATTGCAACGCATCCAGTGAATGTCCGAGCCGCCATAACTTAGGCGCCGAAGTGCTTCCGAGCACAGTTTCTGTGCTTGCTGAACAGGGCTGCCATGGCGGAGGCGTGGGCCCGGCTGTGGGGATTTGGCTCGAGCGTTGCAGCGGAATGCATGGATGGGGCGCGCGCGCCAAGTTGGCCCAGGCAAAGCGATTCAATGACTGTGTGAGAGGCAGTCTGTTCCTCAGATCTCTTACTGCCGGCTCCAGCCTTTTTCGTAACTTTGCCATCGTTCCTTTAGTTTGAACAGCTGGGGAACTGCAGGTAGTAATTGCCAGCAATCCAAGGAGATTTCTGAATTTGCCACAGCTCGACACGTGCTCCCGGTCTGGGCCAAAGGCTGGCCGAAGATCATGCAGACCTTCCCGGAGATGGGGCTTTGGCGGGAGCTGCGGCAGGCGATAAAAAAGTGATGGGCACGTGATGGGGTGATGGGGGGTTGTCTCTGTGATCGTGTTTTGGGTCAGAAACGGGTTCCCTGTTTCAACTTGGGTTCCTTTGGCTTCTCTGAAGGGCCTCAAAAAGACACGCAAGCATTCTCTCACCATGCGAAAAGGGGAAGGCCGGCCGTGCTTCGCCCTGCAACTTTGTAAGCGGTGGCCTTTGGCCCTTGTTCACAGGGTGTAGTATGTGTCTCTTAATCTTGCAGGAGAAACAAACGTGACTTGCCATTTGTGAGAATGTATTGATGTGTTTGATGCTGGCAAAGATTCCAGAGCGATTCGCAATGCACCAACCATGGTATTGGTACATTTTTGGTGGTACCGTAGTACCGATTGGGTGTCCCACCACCCACTCCAAAAGAAGTTGACGCGTATGAAGTGCCTCACTTGCGGGAGGGCCTTGCCAGGCTGTCCATGCGCGGGTGTGGGACAGCAGCGGGGAGCCGCCGCCGAAGGACAGCCGCCTCCGCTATCGTCAGCCGCTGATGGCAATGGCTTGGCGTCAAGTGATGGGCCCGTGACACGTCAGGAGCCTGTGCAAGAGGCAGCTCCAGACGCAAAGAGAAGCAGGACTTGCGCTGGCGAAGGGTGGGGCAATTTTTCAACGAGTGCAAATGGGCACACGCGTTTCTCGAGTGAAAGTTGACTTGTTTGCGGCTTGGCTTACTGTTGGATAGCCCATGTCGTAATCTTGTATTTTGCTGGTGCTACATTTCGTGGCGTTTTGTGATGCTATCTTGAACTGGCCATCTAAAAGATGAGCCTGCCGCTTCACCAGGAGCAGAAGCAGGAGGAGGCCGGACGGGTCGATCCATGCGTAAGAGTTGCTCTGGGGGCTGCTTCTGCTGCCGTGCAAAAGTATCCAAGTTATTTCTGGCCAGGTCACACGGCTTTTGAAGCAAAAGCCATTTGTGGACATTCCTCGCTCATTTTGCCGGGGCGATCCAGATTCCAACCACTGCAGGCTGTTTTGCCAAAAGGACGCCAAAAGGACCACCAGGGGACCGCAGGTTTTTGTCCATGTTTCCATTTACCAGGATTCCATTTCGGGTACATATTTTTGACCCACAGCCATTTGGAATCCTTTCAACGCCCAGGAGCCGGAGCCGAAGCCGGCGCCGGCGGGACGACAAGAAGCGGGGCCGCGGGAATGATGAGGCGGGGACACAGAGATCGCCCGTGGTGGATATTTGTGCCAACGAAAGCTGTTCCAGGGGATGTGTGCCCGGATCAGCTGGCTGTACCTGTAGATGCGATGCAAAGTCTATTTGGCCCCTTGTTTGCGTTGCCCCTTTTGAAATACCTAGACTCTAGCCAGCTCGACTTGACTTGGGAGTCTAGGTGAGTGTTCTTTTTGGGGCACCTTTCTCAGCCTGGTTTAATGGGAAACCAAAAAGGAAGCCAAAGTGGTGAAAGATCGAGGAATGTGTGGTGGCGACAAGTCAGGCTATGGGGCCATGTCCACCAGTGGAACATATCTCTTGCTGGTTTGACGGTCTTTGCCACTTGCAGCTGAGCCAAAGGTTAAAAGATGTGTGGAGGCAGAAATGGGGGGCTTTCAAACCCTCCACCACTTGAGACAGGGCTTGCCTGCCGAGACCCCTTGCAATCGCCTTGTCTTGGCCTTCCCACAGTTCCATCACTGGAGCATGAACTGGCAAACCCTCGTCAGCTTCTCACAGAACTGTTGCGCTCCCTCCCTCCCTCCCTCCCTCGCTCCCTCTCTCTCACTCTCTCCCCCTCTCTCTCTCTCTCTCTCTCGCCTCTCTCTTCCTTTTGTGCTTTGCTCGTCTCAGCTCGGCTCTGCTCGGCTCCGCTCTGCCGTGTCTCTGCTCTACCTCTGTTCATGTCATGTGGCAATGGGGCATAACCTTTGGCTCCATGTTGGGGTGGATGAACATTCACTTGCCAGCTATTTTGACGTTCACCAGGGGTACAGGGTTTTGACCAGCGGCCATGTGATGCTGGCTTTCGACTGCACTGATTCTGCCTTCAGATTGATGATGGAAGACGCCACCGGGACGACACGGATTGGTACGCGAAAAACCCCATTGGCCGCCTGCGCCTTGGTGACGTGTGGCTTCGTGGTTCGCACTGAGCACGAGTCCAGGCAACCTCTGGTGAGACCTTCCCACCTTCAGCCAAAGAAAAAAGGGGTCAGTCCAACCAGTGGACGCGATGCGGCTGAGAAAAACAAGCCGCCGATTGTTCGTGCACTTCTTGCCGAGGCCGTGGAAAGGGCCCGCTGGCTGTCAGTTGCCCAGATACGACACATCATTGATACAACACAAATAGGGGATGTCTCAAGGGGAGTTTCCCCTACAATGGTTGGTTCAGAGCACTCAGCATGTTTGTGCGGCTGTGAGGTGAGGGGAGGTGGTTGGTTTTTCCCTTGCGCTTCCCTCCAAAACGAGGGCTCCCCCAAAAAAGACACACCCGCATGCACCAGGAGCGCGAGCGAAAGCGCGACTTCGCGTGGGATGCTGACACCTCAGTACCCACTTCAAGTGGCTGGACTTGCCTTGGCAAGTCGTTCCGCAGCTACCAGAGCAGGCCACGTTGACAGCCCCGAATTCTTCGGTATTGGATGCCTGCTGCATGCATCTTTCCCGTTGCGCGTGCAAAATTGCAAAAGAGTTGCACAGGTCTGGACGGTTCGGCTTCCACCTTTGTCTTAACGAAGGCCCGCTGGACCGCCAGCGATGATGACGGGCAGAAGCCGACCAAGAATGAGGACCTGGAACTCGGTCAAATCGCCTGACTTGGGCTTGACCTTGGTGCCCACTGTCCAGTAAATCAGCAATGCAACTGCTTTGTAAGTCTTACGCATCAGACTTACCCTTTCCATGCTCCTTGTGGCAAAACTAGGGATGTTCTTTGAGCTTTCAAAGGTCGTCCGCAGCATTTTGGGGTGCGGAGCCGCGCAGGATGCTGTGGAAGAGGCGCCGCCAAGCCGAAACCCCCGTGAGGTCATCAGCGTTTGGGGGCCCTGAAGCCGGAAGGAGGGTGGGTGGCACATGTTCGGAGGCACACGGCATTTGGGCTATTACAGAAAGGTGGCATTTCTTTGCCCATATTTAAGAAGCGCTCATCACGAAAGCCAGCTGTGCTAGCGGGAGTTGTAAGCTTTAGCTGGATTAGTCAGGGTTTGGGGGGCAGATCTTTACTTTGGGCACCCCGGACGCTTGGAGACCAGTTTTGCGGAGCATGGGGCAAAGGCAGCCGACTACGTTTGGCGATTTTCGTTGCGAGACGGTCAAAACCCCCTTTAGTTGGGGTTGTCAGTCATGAACCTCAACAAGAAGACCCTTAGACAACCATGGTCAGGGCTTAGGGGAACCAAGCCCGCCATGCAGCCATTCGGAGCTTCACATCGATTCGTCTCTCCGGTTCCCGAGGCGCACCCCTCCGGGCACCGGGCCTGCAAGTGGGCGCGCAAGTGGCGCTCTGCGATGGCCGCGGTGCTGCCCAGCGGCCTGGCCGGGGCCGCGGACGTGGGCTGTGGGAGAGTCGCGGGTGCGTAGCCCGCGCGGAGGGGACTTGGGGCGGCGGCTTTGCTGGTATTGCAAGGGGAGCTGACAGCCAGCGGTTGGGGATAGTGGAACAACTCAGACATTCATCGCTTGAAGGGGCCTTGGAACAGAGAGAGGGGACGATATGGAGCCATTCTGCTTCAAACTTTCTTGGCCTGGATGGGTTTGGCAGAAAGAGGATTGAGAGCACGCGCCTTGATTGATTGATTGATGGTTCAAGTCAGGCTAGCTGCAGGGCGCACATTTTCTTGGGTATGAAACGGCATTTTCATGGACACGGCCATGGCCCTGCGCTTGTGCCCTCCTTGACAGTGCCTGCAGAGGCAATACCCTTGACAGTGCCTGCAGAGCCTGACTTTTCGCAGTTCTTCCAATCTGGCGTTCATTGTGCAGTGATCGAGCGCATGCGCCGTTCTGGGTTGATGTGCGATGCAGACATTGCTGGCCTGCGACCGGATGAGCTGGTGACAGCCATGTCTGGCTTTATTGACGATGAGGAAGCTGGATGGTACATCGAGCTTGCCCGTGGCGCTTTGGCATTCCTTGCCAGGCGTGCCAGTGGAGCCCCGCAGTGCGCTCGCCCTGTTGAAGGCCTCCCTGTGCCTGCTGTCAAACGGTGCAGGCTTGTGGGTAGCATTGCGCCGGGCGCCTTTCAGTGGTCGCAGAATGCTCTGACTGCCCTGAGGCCAGTTCACCAGCACTCTGAGATGGTCCATGCTTGCTGGGAGATCTATGCCGCCCTTGGCACGCATGGCGAGTTGTGGTCACCGTTGCTTGAGGAGCACCAGGCCATTGCTCGCGAAGGCCTGGCGAGTCGGCTGCAGATCTTTGAGCGGCGCACTCTGCAGGCGCAACTCAGCGCCCTGAGGCGGTGGGCCAATTATGTGTTGCAGTTTGGCAAAGGGCCTGCAGAAGTTCTGTTGCCTCCGGTTGCCCTGCTTTTTTCCTTCCTTAAGCAAGCGTCTGACGGAGGGCCAACTGCAGCGCAAGGACTTTTCCAGAAGCTGTTATGGTGGCGTCGGCATGTCGGCATACCATTCCCGCTGGGCGACCCCATGGTTGCAACGTGGAACCGAGTGGCCGAGGGACACTCTATCCAGCCTCGTGTGCCTTTGAGCTTTCGTGCTTTTCAGGCGCTCTGCAAGCTGGCCCTTGGTGGTTCCACGAACGTTGCTACGTTCGCATCTTTAGCCCTTATCCCATTAGTGGCTTGCCTGAGGTTCGCCCACGCGCAGCGATCAGCTGATTGGACGCTGTCCCACGACTTTGCTCGCGCGGTTTGCTTGAAGGGCAAGTCGCGCAAACATGGCACGCGGCCGTCGTTCGAATGGGCTGCTCCGATGCATGTTGGCAAGTGGAAGCATGTTTTGGGCTTAGCGTCAAGGGTCATCATTGACTTGCGCAGCCAGGTGCCTGACTTGTCCTTTTGTATCCCAGATGTTGCCTGTGGGCCCTCCGGTTGCCTGGACGAGCGTGCGCATTGGCGAGCAGCCCCGATGCCAATGGCGCGCTTTGTGAAGCTGTTGCACTCAGTGTTACGTAGCGAAGGTTTGCCTGATGCAGAAGTAGGCCTTATCAGCACTTACTCTTTGCGACGTTTTTTGCCAAGTGTAGCAGAGGTCTTGCGAACGCCAGTGGAAGTTGCCCAACACTTGGGAAACTGGACGGAGTCAGTTACGACCAAGCATGCCCAGCCAATGCCAGTGCAGATGAGCCAGCACTATGCTCATGACAGAGTGCTCTCCGCTGGGCACACTAAAGCTTTGTTGTGCGCAGCAGTTCAGGAGTTGCTCGAGACAGAATCCGGGCCGCTCGATTGGCAGTCTTTCCGCACAAAAGGGCTCAGCTGGCAGCAGATTTTAAATCGACATTCTGCTTTGACTCCTCCAGCAGACAAACCAGTAAATTGCCAGGGAAGTGACAGCGAAGCAAGCAGTGACGAGACTTCGTCCTCTTCCGACGGTGGCTCAAGTCACGAAGGGTTGCCGCATGACTTAGAGTGGTTTCGTTTTGCCCGTGGGGTTTCTCATATCGCACGTGAGCGCTCCCAATCCCAACCTGTTCCTTGGTGCCGTGGCACTCCGTTTGCGGGAATTCCCTTGGAGTGGGGCATCGGAATAGAGCCAGGCTTGCAGATTTGTGCCAAATGCCAAGCCTGCGTTCCACCGCACATTTAACGAGCAATCGACTCCTGCAAATAGACAGTGAAAGAATTCTGCGGCTGTGCGTAATAGGTCAGTGTGTTTGCCACTAAATTTCCTGACAACACAAGACACGCGGGTTTCAGGGCTTCGGGGGCCTTACACTCATGTTTTGTGGCCCTTCGGCCCTCGGCCTACATTTATGTCTTGTTGGCCCCCCTGTTTCTTTGCAAGCTTCAGCTTTGGCAAAGGCTTCTTGTTGCGGGGTTGTGCCTACTCTTATTTGATTTGTTTTCCTTTCACACGGCAGGCTTTTCCCCGAGTGGCGTGAGGCATGTCCAGTTTCAGGGCTTCGGGGGCTTCGCGCAGCCTTTTGGGTGCGTGGCCCTTCGGCTCTAATTGTTGTTTGTTTGTTGGCCCCCCTCTCTTGCAGATGCGGGTTTGTGCCAACTCCTTTTTTTTTTTAAAAAAAAAAGATTTGATTGGCAAGTTCATCCAAAGTGACGTGAGACATGTCCAGTTTCAGGGCTTCTGGGGTTTCGCTGGCCCCCCTTCTCTTGCAAGCTTTCGGCTTTTGCTGGGGTTTCTGCTGTTGCAGGGTTGCGCCCCCTTTGTTTTGACGGGCAGCTTTTCCCGAGTCACCATGACATGTCCAGTTCTAGGGCTTTGAGGGCTTCGCGCAGCCTTTTCGGTGCGCGGCCCTTCGGCCATTGACCTACGCTTGTTTTTGTTGTCGTAGGGATGCATCCACTCTTTGCTTGGCCAGGCTAGTCTTTTACTGATCTGGGACGAAGGTTTACGGAGATTTGTGTGTTTGCCAACTTTCAAATTCCCTCAGTCACGCGAGACATGTCGGGTTTCAGGGCTTCAGGGGCTTCGCGCAGCCCTTGTGGTTGCGTGGCTCTTCGGCCCTCGGCCTTAATTTATGTAGTGTTGGCTCCACCCTTTTTGTGGCAAGCTTTCAGCTTTTGTGCACTGGTTTTTAACTTGCTAGTCTGTTGTTGGGAATGATCTCATTTGGTACATTGACAATCAAGCAGCTTGCCAAATTCTCACCAAGGGTGCCAGTAGTGCAGGGGATTTGTGCTTCATCGCATCACTAGCGCATCTCCTGTACGCAAAGCTGAGTTGCAGGGTGTACTTCGAATACATCGAGTCGAATGCAAACCCTGCAGATGGTCTCTCCCGTGATGGCCTTGATGATGCGTGGACCTTTTCCCAAGGTTGGTCCTTGCTGCCGGCAATTGTGCCTGATTTAGTTCGCATTGCAGCGTCTTCGCTTGCAGCAGCTTTGACGGCATTGTAGCATTGGGGGGAACTTTGGGGTGGCTTGATTACACACACACACACACTTCAGAGCGCCCTGTGGCTTTCACCTGCACTTTGTGCTGTGCGCCCTCTTGGCCTCTGTGTGTGTGTGCAAGCTTTGACTAACCCAATGACACTCCCTTCTTCAGCTTGCAGACATCGGCATTATCTCACACTGCATGCGAAAAAAAGAGTGCGCCTTCTGCAGCAAGTTGCCGAGCTTTCATTCAAACTTTCTTGGCCTGGATGGGTTTGGCAGAAAGAGGATTGAGAGCACGCGCCTTGATTGATTGATTGATGGTTCAAGTCAGGCTAGCTGCAGGGCGCACATTTTCTTGCCCGCCCACCACGCCCTGGCATTGCCAAGAGTCTTGGCCTGCCTGTGATTTCTTCTGCCAAGCTTGAAGTGGGGTGGCTTGATTACACACACACACACACTTCAGAGCGCCCTGTGGCTTTCACCTGCACTTTGTGCTGTGCGCCCTCTTGGCCTCTGTGTGTGTGTGCAAGCTTTGACTAACCCAATGACACTCCCTTCTTCAGCTTGCAGACATCGGCATTATCTCACACTGCATGCGAAAAAAAGAGTGCGCCTTCTGCAGCAAGTTGCCGAGCTTTCATTGTTTTGAGGGATTGGCTCCTCTCTCAGATGCAGAAACGGCGTTTTGTCATTCTGCGGGGAAGTCAATTTATTCAAGCCAGGCCTCTTTGAGGATAGGTGCACTGGGCCCCGCACCGCTGAGGATGAGGCTGTGCCCCTCACAGATACGGAGGACCGAGCGCCAGACGGAGAGATAAGATCTTATGCGGGGCCATGCTCACTTGGGTGTTTTGGGAGGCCTATTGGTAGATTTCAAAGGGGAACCCCAAGAAGAGGATTACGCGGATCGAGACCAAGCAATTTCCGCTCAGCCAAGAATCAAGCGCAGTTGGAGAGGTTCGAAAGCTGGGGCTGCTGCTGTGGAAGGACTGTGGCTTTGGATAAAGCGCGGACAGAGCAATGCATCTTCGACTCGCAGACCATTTGCACCTCCCCTGGTCATTGGCCATAGCACCCGACATGGCCAGGACGTTGTATCGTGGGTGCAGAGAACCGACGCCAACCGGTACTTGGGCCTTTTCAGCTGCTAGGCTGATGTAGATAGATTGACTTGGTGCGGGCACTTGTCTTTCAGTTGTGCCGCTTTTCTTTGCTTGTTTTTTGCCACATAGTGCTCTTGGCCAAGGAGCAGACCATCAGAATGCGAAGACCTTCGGCTGGGATGGCAAGGCAAGCTACATCATGGTTTGCTCAGACAAGAGCGCGCGGTACACAAAGAATTGCCCGCCCAAATCTCTGCAATCAGCTCTTGTAGATCCTTTGAGCACCCCACATCTTCCAAGTGATCTTTAGATCGCCCCAGGCAGGCGAACTAGGACCTCTGGAGTTCCTGACAGGAGATGCCCTCACGGGGCTTGGAGCCGGGCAGGGTTCCCCCGGAGTGGTGCCTGGGCTGCACAAGTCACCTCGGGGTCCAGAAGTTCGGCGAGATTCAGCCTTCCTGGGAGCAGGTCCTTTGTGCCAGTGACGGACCTCTTCCTTCTCGTGGGCGAAGGATTGGCGGAGATCTCAGTTGCCAAAATTCAAGCGACATGCCGGCATTCATTCGACGCTCTTGGTCCTCAGGTGGGAATCACTACGGAAGGCATCTTTGCGGACAAGACAAAGGGTCAAGGAAGACGAAGCCGGGGCCTCGCCGGCGGTTGGCGTGAAGTGTCACCCCACTGCTTGCCAGGCCTAAAGGAATGTTATAAGAAGTGCCGTTCTCAGACGTGCTTTCAGCCGGCGCGATGTCTAGGAAATACTTGGAATCCTAGGCATGCCCAGGACGCGCCTTTCAGGACCCGCCGTTCAGGTGATGCAAATGCCTCGTGGCGGTTGGCGGACGAGTTCGGATGCGGAGAAGCTCCGAGCCAACATGAAACCCAGCGCGGAAGTTTCGACCCAATCCAAATGACTCACTGGCACCATGTTGGTCCTGTTGGGGAGCACGTGGGACCACCCAGTTTTCCCAAGCTTTTTCGGAACAAACGCATACACACATAGTGTTGCCGTTTTGCCCGTTGCTCCAAAAGCTTGGGCAAGTGATTTTCCTTTGGTTTTCCTTCATTCGAAAATGGTACCCTCAACAAAGCCGAAATCGCTCTTTGGCTCCTAAGTGCTGTCCAGCTCACGGGTTTTACCGTTGATCGGATCCTGGCCAGCATGGACAAGGCGCGAGAAGGACACGGAGAAAGCTGCCAGGGCCTGATTCGGCGCCATGTGCTACCCAAGCCACCGGTCGCACTTGCCGTTTGCTTTTGGAAGGGTCGCCTTTGTACATTTGGCTTGCGCCCTCAAAGGTAGCCATAGTAGCCACGTTTGAGATCCCCTCTGAAAGGAAAATCAAGGGCACCGGACATTGAGACCCTTTCTTTTTGACCGACCCCTCATGTTGGCTGCATCCCCTTCATGAAAGCAGGCTGAAAGCATTGAACCTGATGGTGCCGATGCTGCCGGCGCCTTTGGAAACGAGTCGTTGCTCGTGAGCGACATGTTGGGTCTATGTGTGTTCCCCTGTCATTTGGCCGTTTCTCAAGATAGCGGTTCCCTGGAATTTGTTGCTCCCTTTTGGTTTCCATTCAAAGCCAAGCAACAAAGTCCATCAGTTTGAGAACCCCCCGATGGGGGATGGGTGTGCGGCAACTTGTCCTATGCCAAGCCTCCCCGAGGCAAAGCATAATTCCTGAGCCGCAATAGCAATGACAGGTGATCAGCTTGCAAGGCCCCCCAGACTGTTCAGAGCTGGTAAGGCATAAGGTTCAATTGCCATTTTGACGGTGCTTTGGATTCGCGCGCCGTGTTTATTGCCCAGAGATGCCTCGAAGTGCAAGCAGAAAGGAGTCGTTTTGCCAGGCGCATTCGGACATTCGCTCACTCGCGGTCTGACTGCCTGACTGCCTGACTGCCTGGCCTGTGCCGTTGGGCTCAGAATATTTTCTAAAGACGGATCTCGGCGTTGGCCGTGCAAGCGCAGCGTCGCGGACCGTTCCAGCACGAAGTGTCTTAGCGATTGCGGGGTGCCTGGAGAATCCACATGGCGGGGCGCCTGGCTTGGGCCGAGCCCCCAGCCGGGCGGTTTGTTCTCTTCCATTGCTTTGTTTTCGTTGCCACTTGAGACTCAGTTTCGTATCCAACTGCCCATCCGTGAATGTGGCTGGTGGTCTTGATTGCCCAAAGCAGAAAGCCAGCAGCCTTCAGGTCTGGGATGGCCATCCTACAACCATCTTACAACTACCCCGAATGAACTTTGACACCGCCGAAATTTATTGAGAGTCTCACCTGAACCAGACTCTGAATCTATCCCAAGCTTATGTAACGTCAATGCTAGACCCTCCCTACTTAATCCCCTTTCCAATCCTACACCGAGCACAGACTGAATCCACAATACACCTACCCTACCTAGTCCCAACCTAACCCACTCCCATACGAGTCCCATCCTTGAACAAACGCCCAACCAATCCTAAAGTACCTGAAACCATTCCTAAACAAACTCGAAGCATATTACTCAGTCTACAGCAAGCGTCGCATCATTTCCGAGCGAGTCTTTAATACAAAACTGGCCCTTGCACTACATTAAAACCAAATTAGATAAAGCGTAAATCCACGCAAGACCTATCCGGAATCAAGCTGAAACGCATGGAACAGGACTTGCACGCCTTTTTCGGTGGCCGCGGGTCCCAACCGCCGTGAATTTGCAATTGCAGGAGTCTCAAAAGACAATAGTCGTTGCTTTCCTTTCCAAAAAAAAGAGAGAAACACCGCCGGGAAGGAAGAACCGCACCATGCAGCCTTTTCTGTTCTATACCACACTATGCATGTTTTGGAGAGTCAACTGTCGGCACCGGCATTGAGCCATGTGCAAGCCGGTGAGCCAAGCACTGTCCGAGGTTTCATGTGGTGCAGCGGGGATTGCAGGGACGCTGCATGCTGGATGCCCGGCCAAAGTAGGCCGGTGCCTTGCGTGTGGCTTCCCGAAGTTTCGGTTTCGCGCTGTGTGCAGGCAGCCAGCTTTCCAAGCAGACAGATGCAGCAACTGCCTCAGCTTGACAACTTGCATGTCACAAATGGGCCCCTTCCATGGCTTTCGTTCTGTCCACTTTTCGAGGGAACACCCTGCGCAAGTTGAGCCCCCTGCGCCTGGCTGCCAGGCTTGGGGAGCTTCCTTCCTGCGTCACTATAGAGGCTCGGCACCGCAAGAGTTGGCTGCGGCTCGGAGTCTTTTGCCGGTCCGGTTGGTTTCTTGCTTGGTTTGTTGCTTGATTGGAATTGATAGGGTTTCCAGGCATGAAGTAACCATGGAGTTGGCGCATGCTTTCCAACTCTGAAGCAATTTAAGGATTGCATTCACACGGATTGCATTCACGCGGATCTATGCGGGGAACTGCGTCCACGATCCAAGAAGGTTTGAGAACACTTGGTCATGGTTGGTTGGTTCTACTTCCCTCTCCAGAGGGCATCCGCAAGCATGGTAGTAGCTTGGATGGTCTCCCATTCACGTGCCCGCTGCCCCACTAGCGCATTTGAACATGAAAGTGCATGACGAAGGTGTCAAACGTCCAGCAACAGCCCTCTTGACGAGACAAGAGGCGCCAAACTGTTCTTCATGAAGGCTTTGTTTGTAAAGCCCTTGAAGTTGCCTTCCTGCTGCCCATTCCGGTCAATCTGCTAGTCCGCACGCAGAAGTCAGCAGACTTGGAAACACAAGACCAAATAGGTGAAGCCTGCTCTTCCCAAAGTCCAGCCGAGCTTCCCTTGACAGACAGCGGCATTTCCCCACACGTTCGCGCCCAGTAGTTGTCTAGCCCACCTAGCAAAAGCAGGCCCAACAAAGATTGAGGTGGGAGAGAACCGTTGCCCCAGCAAGTGACATACTATAATAGGAGATCAAATCGCATAGGGTGTCCGCCATGCCTCAGCAAGCAGCCACCGAAGGAAATATTATCGTGCGTCCAATGTCCCTGCGTAGACTATCGCAGATCCAGCCATTTGTGAATTGCAACTCGCATACGATGGAGGAAAGGGCCTTTCAAGGAAAGGACAAGGGCTGGTCATGGTGTTCTGAACAGTCACCACCAGACCGAAGGACCTGGACCACCGTCTTGGACGTGCCTGGATGTACCTCCACTTTAACGTGTTTTGCCCAGGCAGAGACAAGTGCAAGGCACCGACCAAAAGGAGGGTCATCTGCATGAAACAGAACCGGCACACGCTTCTTTTTGTCTAGCACATCCAGCGCTCCGCATGTAGCCTCAAGAGCAGTGCTGTGAAGCACATCCTGGGAAGGCACCGGCCAGTTATTTCTGAAGCAATCAGCCGGAGATCCGGACACTGACAAAGTCGGCGGATCAAAGTCAGCAGGTTGAGCTGATTGAAGCCACAGTCAGCAGGCTGAAGGCAGTTCCAGCGTGGCTTGGCCAGGCTCACACCAGGCCTTGCGAGGGAAGGCGGCGTCCGCATCGGCCTGGGCCACAGTGCGTGTTGAAAGGACGCCAACCGTAGATTTTCTTGCATTTCCATGTAGCAGCTGGTTTTCAAAAGGGCCAGTCATTGGAAAGACCTGAGCCCACAGTCATTTCTTCATGTGGTGGCGGTGCGTTCGCGGCGACCCGGCAAGCCCTAGGAGGAGTCTGGGGGAAGCAGCGCCTCGCATGCGCCCAACGACAGGCGCCGGATTCGGCGTGGTTGAGGGATTAAGAAGTTGCAAGACATCAGTAGCTGTGGCTGCAGCGGGGCAACCAAGACACATCTCCGGGAGATGCCAACAAGCAGAGCTGACTGCCAGGGATGTGGATCGCAAATTCACAGCGCAGCCACGCGCTGAGTGCCCGGATTGGCTGTATGGAGGATGGGACTTTGAGGTTTAACGCGTTCACCGCGGCATACTTTGCACCTCACCGCAGGCTCGGAGCTTGATTCATGGGACGGAAGTCGCGAAGCCGGCGCAGCCAAGAGCAAAGCTTCTAGGCTTTGGCGTTGGAGTCGCTGGCGACTGAAAGGACCGCGGGCGGGCCCTGCCGCTTTGGCCACTTTTCGTTTGTGCCACACACGCGAGGTTTACCCTTTAGGCAATGTAAAGAATCCTCATTGTGTCCACGGGCATCTCCCACAGAACCTCATTGGCATGTGAGTCACAATCAAAACCGGGTATTTCCATCCCAACCACAAATAGGTGCGGCTGCCTTCCTAATTCTTTGCATGGTTCCTGGTCAACCATTTTTGTACCGGGTTTTCATGACCCATGTGTTCCTTCAGGACTCTTTCAGAGTTCCAGGCACAGGCGCGGCGCGACGTCGTCAACCTCCTGGTTTCGGATGTCCTTAGGCCAACTGGACTTCAGCGGTGCATTGCCATCGTGGGGTACCTGCTTCCACTGGGAGGCCCGAGTGGCGAAGGCTATTGAAATGGGGAGAGCTTCCAAAATGGCAAACGAGGGTGGACCAAAATCCAGGAGGATTTTCTGAGAGGCCCCCAATTGAAGTTCATGCCATGCCAGCCTCGACGGTTTTGGCAGTTTCGACTGCGCGCCGGGCTCTGCATTTGGCCCAGTTGCGCTGCGGCTGTCTCCCAGCTTTGCCGGGACAGGAGGCGCGGAAAGGAGCGCGGCGTCTTGCGCGCCCGACCGTGGCGCCAACTGAGACGGTTTCACGTAGATGGCCTTGGGTTAGCTTTAGATAGATGCGTTCGGGCGAATGAACTTTTGTAGGTGACTTTGGGGTGATGTTTTTTTGGTAGGCCTCTTTGCAAACTTGCAGCGGCCTCAGAGGGGCTGGCGCGTACTGCTTTTTGACACGGCCACACGCTGTCAAGTGGACACCTCCTGGGCCCTTTGAACCATCCAAGAAGGGCTGAATCATCCAAAAAGGGCCACTGAAAGCAAGAAGGGGCAATGCTTTGATCGCCACCCACGTGCCTTGCCACATGAGGTGGAATCTCATGATGCTGGTCACCGCCCCGGTGTCCTCGCCCCTGGGGGCTCTGACGGCGGCGAGCTGGCTGCTTTGCGGAGTCACCGACAACCAGGCGGTGCCGCGGGGAGGCTTAGCTTACCCGAGCCATCAAAATCTGGGTAGACGGTCTGAGGACGTCCCAGCCAGAAATAGGTTCGAGAAAAACACACTTTGGCACCAGCTTTTGATTTTGACTTGGGACAGAAGACGGAAACAAATGAAACCACAAGTGTTCCCATACGCAACGTCTTTTTTGGGTTGTTTCAAAGGGAAGCCAAAGGGAACCCACCCATTTTGGGAGTTCCGCGGTTTGCAGACGCAAGAAACACCACATAAGGTTCAGCAAAAAGTCCCCTGTTTGGAGCTGTTTGCAATTACGTTTCGGTCCTACCTTCCTCATTTTTGCTGTCTGCGCTCGGCGCTCGCATTCTGAGGTCCGACTTCATGAGATGCCACTTCCGACAGGCTGCAAGAGACGGAGGGTTCCGGAAATTTGAGACACCGTTGAAGCATCGCAGGCCTTGTTGCTAGCCCTTGTGCCGAGTGCTCGGGCGTTTTTGCGCTCTTGGCTGCGGACCTTTCAAGCACTGAGGCCGGCCTTGCTGGTGTTCCAAGAGAGGGCCTTCAACTCCGAAGTACAAGGTGGCGAGGCAAACGGTGGAGCATGTTTGCTTTCTGGTTCGCGCAGGATATGCTCCTTTGCTGTTTTCTGCTATGCGAACCGGTCTTCTAGGCGCAGGGCTTGTGGGATGCGTGGCTGCTTTGGCTGATGTGGCTGATGGCTGTTGTGGCTTTGGCTTATTTGAGGTTCCTGATAAAGGGCTTGCAGCAATGCTGCTGCAGTTGAACGCAGCCTGCATGGCAGGTTCATTGACAGTGATGTGGCTGCTCTCAGTCTTTTGTTGTGTCCTGGGGCGCTACTCAGGCCGGGTGTTGTGGATTGGCATGTCAGTTTGTGTAAATCAGACCATTGAGCGCTGTTCGAACGCTTGCCTGCAGTTCCGAGCACGGACTCAAGAGGATCGAGTCAGCACGTTGAGAGCTAGGCCAAGGGTGAATCTTCCACGATGCAGAAATCTGCATGCAAGACCACGCCAGCCTCCTATCAAAAATGCTTTTAATGACATCTGCATGAGCAGCTGTCGCAGTCGAATAGACAGGCAATGCCTGGTTCAGCAAAATGACATCCAAGCTCATATTCACATTCCAGGCGAATCTTTGCTGCAACCAGACAGCCTGACTCTGCATGTCTCAGTTACGAAGGCCAGACGCTCGGGTGAACAGGTTCCCAGTGGCTTTTTTAAAGTCGAGAGCCCTTGTTAACCTCCGGTTCGGCGATGCCTGGCTGGAGCTGTAGATAAGGGACAAGAGGTCATAGTTGGCCCGTTGGGCTGGTTCGATTGTCTCAGCGGTCCGGGGCTACAGAGCTATGGCCGCAGCCACTGTGCAGGTTAGAGCGGCCTCCCACTGTGGGGGCACGTCCGGGTCGAAGGCCCTGTTCCAAGTCGGCGATCGCGAGCCTCGCAATCAGAAAGTCGCTGCCATGTTGGGCCCCTCAAGCCTCGGAACCGGATCTTGATCCCTTGCACAAGCGCGGCGTTCGCATTGGCGGTTCCGTGCTCATCTCTCTTTCCGCCAGCCGCGGGTGTCAAGATCCCGCGGAAGCCGGTTGCTGCCATGCCCCATCCACTGAGGGCTCAGCCGGGGGCGCCGGAGAACGTGCGGCCGGCAGTCTCCTTCAAAGACTTCAAGACCGAGCCGGAAGCATCCGAGCTGGAGGCCAAGGCCCTGCAGCGGATTGGGCACTTCGTGTTCCAGGACTGTCTTACGTTTTAGGCTTGCTCATTGCTGCAAAGGCGAACCATCAATGGCCAAGGGTTCTGCTGTTCAAGCCACCATCCAAAACACCGATCAGGGATAAGGTGGGTATGATCAGCCTCGTTTTTTTCTTTAAGGGTTACCATGCCCGCCGATAAAAAAGAGAGTAAAAAGCCCCAGGGGCCCAGACCCCCAGGACGACCGCTGGGAGCGGGCCGTGGCGGAGCTGCGGAAGGAGCCTGGCTGGGGCCTGGCCGGCGCCCTGCAGCTGCTGCGCGCGGGCGCGGAGGCCTATGGCTTCTGGAGCCTCTCCGATGAGGCCGGGAAGGGGTTAGGAGCTTTGGGCCGGAGTTTCGGAGCTTCGGCTGAGTGGAAGGCGTTCCGTTTTCGGTTTGACCCACAACACGCTCTGGTTCTCCAAAAGGGACCCCTGCACAGGCAGTTTGTGGGGAGATTTCTTGAAGATTTGTGCTCTGCAGCATGGCCTCTCGGTGGGATTTGCAGGAGTCGCTCGTCCAACGTGGCCCCGGGCAAGATTAGCACTTGCTCCCGGATACAAATCCAGGAGCACGTTGCCTAGCGAATTGATGGATGGTTATTGATAAGCATGTTCGACCTGCAGTGAGGCTAGTGTAGTGGGAGCCAAGTTACATAGGGTTGTTTGTGAGGGCGACCAATGAAGCAAAGCGAGCAAGCCGTGGCAGGTGCTGAGGGGCTTGGCTGGGCAGCTGGTGGGGGAGGAGTGCTTGAGCCTGGGCCTGCAGCAGTGGCTCCAGGAGCAGAGCCCCAGGCCCAGGCCGAGCAACGTGAGCGCCCCGGATATCTCCGGGGTGGTGCCCAAGTCTGAGACCGAGGCGAGCGGCGGGAATCTGGAGAGAAGCGGCCGTGGCAGATGGCAGGGGGGAGGGGACGACTCAATTGAGGTCGGACGTGTTTTGCTGGACAGTGTTCCCTTTGCGTTTCAAGCCGTTTCTTAATTTTCGCCAGATTGGGCATGTTTGGGTGTGGTTGGCTTCAGCCCAGAGGAGTCGGAAGTGCCGATGACGGTGAGGCGGATGACAACCATCGCCACATCTAGGTTCGGAGGAAGCGCTGAAACCTGCGCGGAGACTGACGGCATCGACACCCAGCGCTTTGCGTTGCAGAATTTGACGAAGGCTCACACGAAGCCGGGCCAGATGTTGCCCGACTGGAGGGCCCACTTTGTGAGCCCCAATTATTTCCTCAGGGTGAACCTGGGTATGCAGACCCTGGTCTTTGTCGCAAGCGCGGCCTATGCTCTGGATCTGGTCCTGAACAAGTACCCCAAGGCCAATGGACGTTGCACCAGTGTGTTTGTTTCGTTTTGGGGTGAGTCTCCTTCTCATGGGAATTCATTTGAAGGGTGCGAAGGGGACATTCCAGAGCCCTTCAGGCCATGGAGATGTTCAGCTGGCCCATTTTCTTCGCCCGGCTGGGCGGCATGGGGTGCGCGATCTGCACGGCGCTGCTGTTCCTGAGCATGTCCCGGGCAGTGCTGAGTGGGCTGTCCCGGTGCCTGCCGCGGAGCAACCGGACCTTCTGGTTCGCTGGCCCGGACACCACCCGTGCCCCCCCCCAGTTTCTGACTTTACCCCCCAGTTTCTGACGAATCAAATGCGTGCTACTTAGCCTTTCAGGTCGGTTCAAAGATAAACAAAGAGGAAAGCTGAACGGATTTTGGTCCTCGGCCCCAATCTCTATTGTGACACTCATGACATGTGCTATGGTCAAAGGACCCGCTTACTTGGGGTTAGGGATTGTCATGGACACCAGAATAGGGCATATAGATGTGATCTTTTTGACACATACCCCTCCAGGCTACCCGAATCCCAGGTTCACTTTCCTGGACTCCCAGAAGGATCTGCACATCGAGGCCGGCAAGGCCCTAGTTTTCTACTCCGTTCTGCACGTAGTGGGGCACTGCATTGGCACGGTGCCCGGCATACTGCAGAAGAGCGCGGAGGAGAACCATTGGATGAAACCATCCATTCAAACCCTTTCAGTTTCAACGAAAAACGGGTCTGCTGGGAAAAAAGACAGTTTGATAAACTGAACTGTCTCTGACTTCCAACTGTAAGCTGGAGGAGCTCAATGCACTACTGGGCTGTGCGCAAGAGGACCCCCCGTATATGGCGGCCTGGGATCTGAGCTTCCTCCACTGGCCCCACTGCCCGCTGACGGAGGCCGACAAGCCCATGAACTTCACGGAGGTGCTGAAATGAAGTCGCGGTTGGCTTGTAGACAATTCCGGTTAGACCGCCTGATTTTCCAGAGAGCTGACTACAGGGGTGCAATCATTGACCTGTTTTACCTTATTTGGCGTCTATGGTGTAGTTCTTTTGCTTTTCTGCTGGGCGTTGATTTTCGGGCGTGTCGAGGCTTGCTTTCTTGAAGCCAATTGCCGCTTCGCAGGCGCTCTTCCTGACGATGCCGGGGGTCACAGGGGCGGTGCTGTGTGTGTTGCTGGGGGTGGTCGGCCTCAGCAGCCGGAGCCGGTTCCGGGCGCAGCACTTCGACGCGTTTTGGAACCTCCACAACTTCACCATCGCCCTGTGGCCGCCTTTGCTGTTCCTCCACGGGTCCCAGGCACTTTGTGTTGTCTTCGAGAGCTGAAGTTGGGGGCGAAGTAAGACAACTTAGGCGCCTTTTGGACAGCAGCCTGTCCCGCCAACTGGGCCAATTTGACGGGATATCAGTGATACGCAAAACCCTTACAAAGTGATTGTTTGTCTCTTCCTCATTGCAGCATCTGTTAACACGCTATTTGCGACCTTGAGACTCCTATGAGGCAGATGGGATCATTTAACCAGGATTAATAATGTTTCGAGTAAATCAAAAGTGTCAAATCTGGGTGCCAGGGTTGGATTGGCGTGGGGATGCCTCTGGTGGTGGTGGTGGCAGCTCTGCCAATGGCCTGCTACGCCCTGAGCCGTTTGGGCCGGCTGCTGCGGTACTACCTCTTCGCCGGCAGGGCGGTGAGGAGCGGGGTGGGCAGCGAATTGTTCGCGGCCCAGGCTTCCCTTGACACAGCCGAAAGGGTGTCCATGGGTCGAACATGACAACCAATCCTTTGGATGGGCTTTGGAGTGTGGCATTCCCCTTCAACGGGGTCAGTGGGCTTGGGCTTTGATTGAAACTGTCAGCCATTGTTGTCACTCGACCCAACTTGCCGAGCTTGGGTGTCAGGATCCTGCGGGCCACTATCCGCCTGGGCAAGCGAGGTGAGATGGAAGGGTCGCTGACGCAGCTTGAGGTGGGAACCGGGCGCTCGAGACGCGAGAGACGGGGCATGCTTGGCAGTGGGAGCCTTTGGCGCCCTGGGCACTGTGAAGGGAAACGAGGCAAGCCTCGGGCGTTTCTCGGGCCAGGTGAGTCCTCCGCCTTGTCTTTGGAAGTTCCATGCGGGGATGTACGCCTTCATTTGCATGCCGGACTACGCCCCACTCCAGTGGCATCCCTTCACCATCACCTCAGGCGTGGTCGCGATTTGATACCTGAGATCTTTGTGGCGGCAGCAAGGTGTTTGGTGTTTTGCAAAATGCTGGCATAAGTCCATTTGGATGGAAGGACGCAGTGCCAAGCATTTGGACGGGGCCGTGGAAGATCCAACCACAAACATTCTGAGCGCTTGGCCACAAGCGTCACTTGCGGTGGTTTGCGGGCAATCGGAGCTACTTGCTCCGAGTGTGGCTGCGACTGGTGGCAGACCTGCGAGCCCTCCCCCCAGGCATTGATTTTGTGCCGGAGCTTGCAACTTGCTGCCCGGAAAGGGGACCAACCGACCGACCATCCAGCCAAGCAAGCAAGCAAGCAAGCAAGCAACCAAGCAACAAGGCAAACAAGCGAACAAGCATGCGAACAAGCAAAACCAAAAGGAGCGCCACCAATTTTTGAGGTCCAAGCTTAAAAAAGACCAGCTTTCCGAAGTCTCCCCGGTTCTGTGTTTACACATCGGTCACTTCCCCAGTCAAGTTCAAGGCACATTTTCTTTTCCAAGCCAACCAACCCCTGGTAGAGAAGGGGCCATTGTTGCAAATTTGGGACATCAAACCAACCAGACGGAACTGTCTACACCAAGTCAAAAAGCGAGGCTGATTTGGGCTAGCAAGGCTTCACTCCTTGGCGCTCCATGGTGCCAGTCTGTGCAGAGATCGATCCCTGACACTTGGAGACTTCGGCCCAAACCCCAAACTCTCTAAAAATTCCACAAATTCCACACATCGACGCGAAGTTCGTTCCGGAGCCAGGCAAGGACGACGCCACGGTGAACTTCATCATCGCGGGGGTGGGGGACTGGACCGTGGAGCTCGCGAGGCGCTGCTCCTCGGGCCACCTGCCCCGCATCGCCCTGGATGGACCCTTCACTGCGCCCACCCAGTCGGCCATGGACAAGAAGGCGCTGAGGAGAAACGAGAAAGAGATTCGGATGGAAGTGGAAGATGGATGCCATAGATGCCCATGTGCAGTTTTCAAGGGCCTGGTTGTGATTCAGGGTGCTTGTCGCGCTGACTTGGGTGTGTTCTTTTGGAGGTTTCTTCTTTGGGCTTCGAAACAAAGACCAACGAGAGCCCATGGGTTCAGGTCTTGGTGGCAGTGGGCGCCGGCGTGGGTGTGACGCCGTTCCTCTCGTTGCTCTCCACGCTGATTGCCCAGCTGCTGACCTCTCCGGAGAAGTGCGCTCTCGTGGAGGCGCACTTTTACTGGATCACCCGGGATCCCTGCGGCTCGGCGGCTTCTGTGGGCCTGTGGGTGTGGCCAATATTTTGAGCTTTTGGATTCGGGATTGGGGTTTCGTTTTGGGGAATGAACCTTTGGAAACCGTCAACCTTTGCGGAAAGTTGGCCACTCAGGCGAGTTCATTTTCGGGTGGCAGCTGCTGCGGAAGTGGCTAAGCCACGACCTCCTGCAGTCTAAGATCTTTGTGCACCTACATATCACCGCGGCCCGGTGTCGTTTTGGTCTCTCACAGCACACGCGGGTTTCTCAAAACTGGGGACTCCTTTTTGGTCTAACGGGAACGAAAGGCAGCAACCTATTTGAGTCTGTGTCAAACCTTTGGTTGCCTTTTGTTTCTCCCAAGCTTTCACAGAGTATCCGCAATCAAAAAACACCAGCACCGCCTGTTGGGCTGTGGCTCACAAGCATGAAATCCCCCAAAATGGCGCCTGGGTAAATGGAATGGAACCCTCCGAGGCGAAAGATCCCTCGGAGCACCTGCCCGGCTTCCTCTTCCGCGAGGCCCTGAGGCGCCAGAGCGCGGCGGACCGGCACCACTTCCAACAGGCGCTGGTGAAGTGGCAGGCCGGGGCCCGCCAGACATGAGACGCCCAGGAAAGCCGCCTCTCGAAAAATGTTTGACAAAAATCCGGGACTCAAAGTCACGGTCGGGCAAATTGTTCGAACAGCCTGGCCGAATACGAAGAGACAACAAGAAACAATACAAGCAAGGCTGATCCCACCCTCCATGAAGCGGGGGAGGCGGAACCGGTCCGGGATTGGTCCCAGGACTAGTGCCAGGAATCCACGTTTTGTGCGGGAAGCACAGCGCTTAGTCACCATCAAGTTCCCTTCTGCAAGTAGCTTGGGAACAGGAAGCAGAGGGGTCAGCGGATTTGGGCATAGGATGACTTCTCATAATAGAGCCAATGGCACGCACTGCAGCTTTGTAGCGAGCTGTGCTGTTTTTCTTTTCAACCAAGGGAACCCTTAAAGGTTTCCTTTTTGGGTTGGTTTGAAAGGGAACCGAAAGGACGCACCAATCCAATAGTTTGGCCGCCCCCCCCTCCCCCCATTTGGACGCACCGCTCTCGACAGGCCTTGAACTCGGTGCAGGTGGTGGGGCCCCAATTTCCCTGGTGCTGGGCGGAGGGCGGCTGGGAGGAGTTGCTGTGGGTGCCGGGTTTCAAAATCTTAGAACCTTCAGTCCAACTCCGTTTAAGGAAGGAAGAGTGGTTTGAACGCAACTTGGGTGAAGGGGAGTTTGAAGTTGAAATTCCCAGAGGTGCAGTGCCCCTCCTGGGACTCGGGCACCGGCAAGTTCCGGCGGGTGCAGTCCGCGGGCTACTGCAGCCACACCGAGGTGCCCGAAAACCCACAGGACGAGCAGCAGAAGGGAAAGCGGGAAAGCGTGCGGGGGGTGGGGGAACGGGTTCAGGGGTTCAGGTGGAGCAGGAGAGTGGAAAGGCAAAATGAGGGGCCGCCTTTTTTGGACCCGCTTGCGAGTCGGCACAATCAAACCACGGTAAGAGCCGCTTCAGGACCAGCGGATGATTCCCATCACCTTGGGGCGGCCCAACTTCTGCCGAGACATTGGATCCATCGGTCGGGCAAGGTGGGGTTTGGGCAAAACTGGGTTCCGACTTCTGACACAACTTTGGACTCCTTAGGAAAACCCAAAGCTCGGGCAAAATTGATGAAACCCTGAAACGTGTTCAAAGGTTGGCCCATCCCTAGGCCCGACCTGAACATCCACGTGTACATCTGCGGGAATGAGGCCCTTGTGTCGGACCTGCAGTCAGCATGCAGCGCGGATCAATGGAAGTGGGCGGAGGGGCTTCGGACGCGAGAGCGGACGCGAGAGCGGACGCGAGAAAGATGACCTGCCAGCTTGTTCAGTAGTCTAGTGATGCGGAGTTGTGGCGCAAGTCTTGACCACCGCGTTTGCTTGGTTTGGCGCAAGTGTTTGCCCCGGTTTGACAGGTATAGGGAATCCATGAGACATCGATTTGGGGGTCTCCCCATGCTCGACACATTCCTGTATTGATGCATGCTTCAAGTCGCCCAGGCGTGAAATGTGCGCAGCAGGCCTTGAGCCGGAAGGGAAAGGCACTGCAGCAGTACCTGGTTCACTTCGAGCGATTTGGCTGAGAGCCGCAGGCCTGGTGGCCTGGGCTTGTGGCGCCCTTCTCGTGGGGAAACCAAAAAAAGATGGCAGAGCCACGTATCTTGCGTGAATCTTGTCTTCGTGAGCCTCACACATTGGAGAACACCCGCAATGGTTGGTGGACACTCTCAAGTGGCCAATATTGAAATTCAGGGAGCCTGAAGCACACCAAACCAGCTCAAATGTCAGTTCAATGCTGACCAAGTTGGCACAGAAGCCGTCATGTGCCAGGACCCTGGTAAAGACTCCCTGCCCGGGCAAGCGGCCTGACCCGAGTTTCGTGCATGTGTAAAATGATATTTAAGAGCCTCGCAATGCCGGCATTGACGCCATCGGCACTCATGCCATGGGCAAATGACAGACCCTTCCAACAGGCGTTGGCAACGAGGATTTTCAGCAGACAATGACAACGCAAAGGTTTTGACCATGGCATGCCATCGGGACGGTGCCTTGTCTCTGAATTCACAGGTGCCTAGGTGCCTCGTGCCTGTGCCGACTAGGCAAGCAGGAAGCACCAGCACCATGCCTAGTGGCCTTGTAGTGGCCCCAATCGGACCAGGGGTGTCGGGGGGATGTTGCGGTGAGAGAATCCCAAGGTTCCGCCGCTTCCCGGGCCAGCAAGTGGAAACCGGAGGTTGCTACAAAGAAGAGCACGAGGCTGCGGCAAGCAGCTCTCTGCATTCGGTGAGTGAGCCGCTTGAATGGCACATCCGGGACACGACAGCTGGCTCAATGGCCCGAGCGGCACCTCAACGGCCTCATTGATGGCCGCCTTCTCCGGGTATTCGCGGGTTTCTTCTTGTGAGTCGCGGGAGACGCAGGACGACGATGATAGCGGCCTTGCAACTTGGTGGAAGACGTCGGCGTTCTGCCGCAGGTTTGTTTCTTTGCGCTTCTTTGTTTCCTTCTTCCATGGCTATGTACCCATGTTGTGTATTGCTTGCCAGCCATTTGTAGCATCTGAATACTTGTTTGATTGCTAGTCTCGCACTGCAGCACTGCGGGGTCGAATGAAGTACTGTTCCAACAGTACGGTAATCACTCCGGATGGACTAATTGACTGGTTGACTGTGAGTACGAGGATACACCACCTACCTGGTGGGAAGTGGATTGTGTCAGTGATGCAATCTCAGAACTTCGGAGTTCACGGCCCCCAGGCGGAGGACGTGGGGGACGTCAACTGGGTGGAGCTGATCTGCGTGTCCCGGTGGGCCGAAACTCGCCGCCGCGATGTGCGCAAGGAGGTCGACGACCTGGCCAACCTGTGCCTCGTGACCAAGCGCGGCCTTTTTGCGTGAGTTTGAAGAAGGGTCTCCGCCCAAAAAGCAAGAACACTTAGCTGAGGCAGTCACAATTATGCGCCTTATCCTCCAGCGCATGGCAATTGAACTATAGCTTGCGTGTGGCCAAGTGGCCGATTGTGCACGATGGAAGCAGCATGCGGGGTTTGTCGTGGCAGAGTGCACGTCACAACAAGTTGAAGGGCTGCAGCCCAAGCCCGAGACAGGCCCGAAATGTCACGCGCAACTCTGTGTGATAGAGATGACATGCGAATAGGTGTGCACCTCAGGCAGGAAAGACGTCTTAGGCCTGGATAGTTTGGGAGCATCTCTGTTCTTGGCTGGGTTGACTGGGCAGCTGGCGTAGGATGGGCTCACTGGGACAGCACACACACACACAGTAGACACATACCATTCTTGCTTGTCTCTTATCCAGCTCTGCCCGTCTTCCCTGTGTACACACACACACACATCCGTTGCTTTCTTTGTTTTAACTTTAAACATCACCCAACCCAGCGTCCCCTTCGACCCGGCCCGAGGCGGCACTGCGCTTCGTTGCACCTGGCGCAGCGCGAATTCGCGGCTTTGAAGGCAGCGGCTGAGGCCAAGGAGGCATCGAGGGCTCTTGGCTCTGGGCTCTGCAGTCAACCACCCCTTTGGCCTCACCCCAATGAAAATTCAGACCCATTCCCCTTGGTGGCTTTAACAGGGGCCAAGCCCCTTTCGGAAAAAGATGGGGGACAAGGATGGGGAGACATTTGGAAGGATGGGGAGGATGCAGAATCCTTACAGGGTGATGGTGTGAGTTCGCTATACCAACGCGGTACAGCCCTGAAAATGGGATCGGTCAGAGTCGTGCCTCAGAATGGCGGAGTATGGCGGAGTCTTGGGATGGGTTTCCAAGATCAACATCTTGAAAGAGACACTTAAAGCAAGCTTTACAATCTTCCGGGCCCTTCCAGCCATCCCTCGGACGGGCATGTCACATGTCAAGCATATGCGGGACCGGTTTTGCCCTTGGCTTCCCTTCAAACCAAGCCATGTGCAAAAACACAGCCGGATGTGTCCCCGTGCCCCTAGGTGGACCTGCCGGCCAAGATGCAGCTTGCAAAGGACCTCTGCGAAGCGCAGGACTGGGAGCCGGTGGGGTGGGGGGGGTGGGGTATGGTGGACTCAAGCTTTAGGAGGCCCACAGATGAACACTTACGGTCTATGTTTTGTTTTTGCCGGTTTGGCGGGGGCGGGGGGGTTGAGTCTGCAGCCATGGCCCGTGCCAGTGTTTTTTTTGCGGCTACGCAAAGACACGTGTCGGGCAGTGGTTGCCCAGTTGCCTGTCAAAGGTGCGGATGCAGTGCATGCCTCCCCGAGGTGTTTCTCAGCTTGGGGCCCTTGGCTCAGAATCCATGTTACCCGCTCAGCCTGCTGTGCGCGAGGAATTCGTGACGAAGCTGACAGAGGAGATCAGTAAGAATTCAGCAAACTTGCTGCCCAAGGACGGGGCTGGAATTTTTGGACACTGTTGAGATTCCAATGGTTGTGCTCTTGTGCCCTTGTGCTCTTGTGCTCTTGTGCTCTTGTGCTCTTGTGCTCTTGTGCTCTTGTGCTCTTGTGCTCTTGGCGCTTTTGCAGGGAAAGGCCCCACTTTCCTGGGAGAGATGTTTGGTGTTCGTTGCGAGTGGCTGCACTGCGGCCTTGGACTTCCAGGAAGACGCTGAGAGGTGGAGCGCGGAAGGCTACAAGGAGTGGATCGACCGGCTCAACGCCTGGGAGCCGATCGGCTGGATCCAGCGGGTCGAGCTCCTGAACGCGGAAAGTGGCCAGAGGCGCCTGGGGATGGGCTTGGCAAGCGGCCAGCGTGGGTGTGGGTCAACATTAAACCACTAGGGGACCATGTGTCAATATAGAAGAAAAACCAAAGGGGCGGTGTTTCTTTGGATGTCCCTTCAAACCAACCTTAACAGGGGTCCCTCAAACAAGCACGCGCCCTCAGCTTAACTGAACAACCTCCGAGAGGGATCCTTCGCGAGTTTGAGGTACTTGATCAAGTTCCTGGAGAGCCTGTGCTTGGACATCCCTTGGTGCCAAGCGGAAATTTTGCTCCAAAACAACGCTGTGCTCCCCAGATACCCAGTTGGTACCCATTTTCCCCCGTTTTCCCGTTTAAACTCGACCAAAAGTCGGGCGCCCTGCGCCTCCCAGAGGTTTTCTCACGCTACCTGAGGCTCATGGGGCGCCTGAGGAGTGAAAACGTGGAGCTCTCCGACTCGGAGTCTCTGCTCGCGCGCCACGTGTTCCTGCGGATTTTGGGGCGGGAGCAGGACCTGAGCCAAGACTTCCTGGAAGGCCGGGCGAAAGCGGCGCGACATCTGCTGGTGAGATTCGGATGACCTCCCCTTGCGAGGAAATGAAGGATTCTGGGGGCTTCCTCTGGATCGTTTTTTTCCCAAAAGCATCTCTGATGCTTGGGTTCTGCTTTAGGTTTTCTCTTAAGGTGCCTGGGAGCGATACAAGCTGTGACGACGGAGATAAGAAGGGATTTCCATTTCGTTGTGCTGCAGACCGGGCGTGCGATGCTGGCTGGGGGTGCAGACCGGGCGTACGAGGCTGGCTGGGGGGACGGCGGTGTGGGGCTGGCTGGGGGGACGGCGGTGTGGTGCAGGCTGGTTGGGGGGACGCAGACTGGGCGTGGCTGGAAACCGCCCGCGAGCGAGACTGGCTGGCTGGGGGGACGGCGGTGTGGCGCAGCCTTGGCGCGCGAGGCTGGCTGGAAACCGCCCGCGAGCGAGACTGGCGCGGTGGACGCTCGTGACATGCGGAAACCGCCCGCGAGCGAGACTGGCGCGGTGGACGCTCGTGACATGCGGAAACCGCCCGCGAGCGAGACTGGCGCGGTGGACGCTCGTGACATGCGGAAACCGCCCGCGAGCGAGACTGGCGCGGTGGACGCTCGTGACATGCGGAAACCGCCCGCGAGCGAGACTGGCGCGGTGGACGCCTCGTGACATGCGGAAGCCGCCCGCGAGCGAGACTGGCGCGGTGGACGCTCGTGACATGCGGAAACCGCCCGCGAGCGAGACTGGCGCGGTGGACGCTCGTGACACGCGGAAACCGCCCGTGAGCGAGACATGCGGAATCCGCCCGCGAGCGAGACTGGCGCGGTGGACGCTCGTGACATGCGGAAGCCGCCCGCGAGCGAGACTGGCGCGGTGGACGCTCGCGACATGCGGAAACCGCCCGGGAGCGAGACTGGCGCGGTGGACGCTCGTGACACGCGGAAACCGCCCGCGAGCGAGACTGGCTCGGTGGACGCCTCGTGACATGCGGAAACCGCCCGCGAGCGAGACTGGCGCGGGGGACGCTCGTGACATGCGGAGACCGCCCGCGAGCGAGACTGGCGCGGTGGACGCTCGTGACATGCGGAAACCGCCCGCGAGCGAGACTGGCGCGGTGGACGCTCGTGACATGCGGAAACCGCCCGCGAGCGAGACTGGCGCGGTGGACGCTTGTGACAGGCGGAAACCGCTCGCGAGCGAGACTGGCGCGGTGGACGCTTGTGACAGGCGGAAACCGCCCGCGAGCGAGACTGGCGCGGTGGACGCTCGTGACAGGCGGAAACCGCCCGCGAGCGAGACTGGCGCGGTGGACGCTCGTGACATGGCGGAAACCGCCCGCGAGCGAGACTGGCGCGGTGGACGCTCGTGACATGCGGAAACCGCCCGCGAGCGAGACTGGCGCGGTGGACGCTCGTGACATGCGGAAACCGCCCGCGAGCGAGACTGGCGCGGTGGACGCTCGTGACATGCGGAAAACGCCCGCGAGCGAGACTGGCGCGGTGGACGCTCGTGACATGCGGAAACCGCCCGCGAGCGAAACTGGCGCGGTGGACGCTCGTGACACGCGGAAACCGCCCGCAAGCGAGACTGGCGCGGTGGACGCTCGTGACATGCGCAAACCGCCCGCAAGCGAGACTGGCGCTGCGGATGCTCGTGACATGCGGAAACCGCCCGCGAGCGAGACTGGCACGGTGGACGCTCGTGACATGCGGAATTCGCCCGCGAGCGAGACTGGCGTGGTGGACGCTCGTGACACGCGGAAACCGCGCGCGAGCGAGACTGGCGCGGTGGACGCTCGTGACATGCGGAAACCGCCCGTGGGCAAGACTGGCGCGGTGGACGCTCGTGACATGCGGAAACCGCCCGCGAGCGAGACTGGCGCGCGGCGGACGCTCGTGACATGCGGAAACCGCCTGTGAGCGAGACTGGCGCGGTGGACACTCGTGACATGCGGAAACCGCCCGCGAGCGAGACTGGCGCGGCGGACGCTCGTGACATGCGGAAACCGCCTGCGAGCGAGACTGGCGCGGTGGACGCTCGTGACATGCGGAAACCGCCCGCGAGCGAGACTGGCGCGGTGGACGCTCGTGACATGCGGAAACCGCCCGCGAGCGAGACTGGCGCGGTGGACGCTCGTGACATGCGGAAACCGCCCGCGAGCGAGACTGGCGCGGTGGACGCTCGTGACATGCGGAAACCGCCCGCGAGCGAGACTGGCGCGGTGGACGCTCGTGACATGCGGAAACCGCCCGCGAGCGAGACTGGCGCGGTGGACGCTCGTGACATGCGGAAACCGCCCGCAAGCGAGACTGGCGCGGTGGACGCTCGTGACATGCGGAAACCGCCCGCGAGCGAGACTGGCGCGGCGGACGCTCGTGACATGCGGAAACCGCCCGCGAGCGAGACACGCGGAAACCGCCCGCGAGCGAGACTGGCGCGGTGGACGCTCGTGACATGTGGAAACCGCCCGCGAGCGAGACTGGCGCGGTGGACGCTCGTGACATGCGGAAACCGCCCGCGAGCGAGACTGGCGCGTTGGACGCTTGTGACATGCGGAAACCGCCCGCGAGCGAGACTGGCGCGGTGGACGTGACAGGCAAACCGCCCGCGAGCGAGACTGGCGCGGTGGATGCTCGTGACATGCGGAAACCGCCCGCGAGCGAGACCTGACCCGAACAAACGGTGCCAATGTGTTTCTAGGACGAACCCTCTCTTCAGAAGCTGTATCCTCTTAGGGTTCGCCCTACTTATTTGGAAGCAGCCTGGAAGCACGTTGACATGAATATGCGCAGATCGTGGTAACACTGTGTCTCAGACTTGTTTCGGACAGGCGTCAGACCCACCAAGTGACCGAGGCTTGTCCACACCGAGCCCCCCGCAAAAGCGCAGCGCCGGCCCCGTGTCCACACACCTGCGGCGCGGCCCTTTCCACAAAGTCACCAGTTGCAATTGGTTGCGATTGGGAAAATAGGTGGAGAAACTAACGAATCCAAGCAAGCTTACGAAGCAAGTTTGTGAAGGCCACGTGCACGGCTCCATGTGAACATCCCGGCGTTCCAGGTGCGCCAAGACTGTCCTTTTTGCCGCACACCTGACCCGAACAAATGGCGCCAATGTGTTTTTAGGACGAACCCTCTCTTCAGAAGCTGTAGCCTCTTGGGGTTCGCCCTACATATTTGGAAGCAGCCTGGAAGCACGTTGACATGAATATGCTGAGCACACTCGGCCCAAACAAAAGGGCGCATGAACATCCGAACAGCTGACCCCGGTCTATGCAGATCGTGGTAACACGGTGTCTCAGACTTGTTTCAGACAGGCGTCAGACCCATCAAGTGACCGAGGCTTGTCCACACCGAGCCCCACGGCCCCGTCTCCACACACCTGCGGCGAATCCACCCAACTTGCCATCCACACGCATCCAATTGACAACGTGCGCGGCCCTTTCCACAAAGTCACCAGTTGCAATTGGTTGCAAATGGGAAAATAGGTGGAGAAACTAACGAATCCAAGCAAGCTTACGAAGCAAGTTTGTGAAGGCCACGTGCACGGCTCCATGTGAACAGCCCGGCGTTCCAGGTGCGCCAAGATTGTCCTTTTTGCCGCACACCTGACCCGAACAAATGGCGCCAATGTGTTTCTAGGACGAACCCTCTCTTCAGAGTCTGTAGCCTCTTGGGGTTCGCCCTACTCATTTGGAAGCAGCCTGGAAGCACGTTGACATAAATATGCTGAGCACACTCGGCCCAAACAAAAGGGCGCATGAACATCCTGACCCCGGTCTACTCAGATCGTGTTGTAGCACTGTGTCTCAGACTTGTTTCAGATAGGTGTAGAGCGAGCTTATGCCTTGCTTCCCATTGGGGAGTGGTAGTTTGTGCGGATCCATTTTCGGATTTCTGCGATTGGTTCTTCATGATGAATCGGATGACTTCGTGCCTTCCATGTAGTGCGGGGCCTGTCATGTTTCACCCGTGCCTTTGCCTTTTTCTCTGTGCTCAGGCTGCTGGCTGCCAATCGGGCTTGAGTCGCGGTTGCTCCCCTTCTTCATCTGTTTTAGGGTTGATTTCCCAACTGTGATCAACTTAATTCTTGTTTTGCCTTCGGACCCTTGAGCCGGAAAACGACGGGATCCACATGCCATGGGGAGCGAGGCTGGTTTGCTTTTGGGTTCCCGGGCTCCTCTTGTTTGTCAAGCCAAAGGGATTACAACCTTGGTTCCTAGCAACCTACCAACTTGGCCGAACACATTTCGAAGGGCCAACCAAATGGGTAAGTGCCAAGCAGCTTTTGGAGCCAACCTCACGGCACCCTCCTTGATACTGCAACCTTTTCCCGGACATCCGCACGCGCACGCGCTCTTGAAAGGCAGCCAACCTGAGGATACCGAGCCTCATAACACAGAAATCTCACATCAGTCACCTAAAAGGTCACGGAAGCCAAAGGGACGCCACTTCGGGGTGCCGTTTTGGAGTTTTGGACTCTCGAGGTGTGAGCACCTTGAAGTTCCAGAAGCGCATGGGAGGCTGCGCTGCGATCAAGGAGCTGTTTCACCACTGCCTCACCGCGCGGAAGGAGGTCTGCTACTCCGCCTCCTTCGCGGTGACCCCGGCCCTGCAGCTGTTTCACCAGGACAACCGCGCCTGGGCGGCTGGCTGGGGCTGGGCAAAGCGGGAAGGTGGGGTGGTTTGGCGCTGGTCGCGCCCTTGAGCCATTGGGATTGGGGGTCGGATTTGGATGTTTCAACTGCGAGAGTTGCTGAAGCTGCCGTTGTTTTCCTGTGGGACGGCAGATTTTGGCCCAGCTGTCGCTTCCAGTCTTCGCTCGAGCTTCCTCCGATGTGGCGCTTTGTGCCACTCCTTGCGTGGGGGATGTCGGAGAAGATGGCCGCCGGAGATGTGCGCTGACGTGTCCCTGAACGGCTCGAACCTGACGATGTGCGCTGACGCGCTGAACAGGATGGCCTCCAAGGAGACTGAAGTGCAGAGTGTCCAGGTCGGCACAGCCCCGGGCGCTGACCCAGTGATCCTGGCTTTCCATGGCGACCATGCAAGGCATAGACAAGTTTTGGAAATGTGACCAGAAGATGGCGGACGAGCAATTCCCATGTGGTTTACCTCTTCATCCCAGACTTCCCCAACAGCTTCTGACGAACGGGGGCTGGGGAGTGCTGGCCACGGAGAAGTGGAGGCAAGGCTTGAGGAGTCCAATGCAGAGCTTCGACTTCGGTGCCCGGCAGGCCACCCTGGAGCACGGCATTCAGGAGCCGATTGCGTTGCACCAAAGACTGTAGCAAGGACTTCCCGCGGACCATGTTGCAGAAGTCTCGATGAGGAGCTCAAGCCAGTCTTCAAAGCCGCAACTAAAATGGATCCTGCCAACGTTTGGAAGCAACATGCCGAGAGGGAGACCTGGAAGGGGGCAAAAATAACGCTTTGAAACATAATCTCTGCATGGATGAGGAAGCATGGGAAGGTGCCGATCGTTGGCCTGATGATCCTTTCCTGGCTTGGCTCAATAATTTTGACCAAGATGGGGAACTTCAGCCCGGTTGGAGGCCGTCTCTATACGACTTTGAGGCACTCCGAAAAAGGCGCAGGGAGCTTCACCACACGTGCTGCACGCTGATGTCTGCCAAGAACGACACCATTTGCCGGCATGTACGCACGGAGAGAGCGAGGAGGTGGAAGGCATTCGTGACTGGCCTTCATGGAGAAGATTCCCATCGATTTAACGTGCAGCGATAGTAAATGCGAGCTAGAGCTCCCAATGGAGAGCTCCCAGTGGCTGCAGGACACGCTAGGGAACTGCGATGAGAAGGAGCGCAAAAGTGGTGGCCATGACAAAGAGTACTTCTACTTGCGGAATAATGGCAACAGCAAGTGCTTGACAGCTTCCTTGAACAATTCGCATGTCGAAATGCAGGGGTGCTCGCAAGACAAAATGCAAGTGTGGGCATACTACAACATCACGGGCTTGCTGGTGAATCAGCACACTGGCAAATGTCCAGGCAGGACAATGGGGGCACGATTCACATGTGGGAATGCCAGCCATTAAACCCGAACCAGCAGTGGGACATGGACTCTACGGTGAAGAACTAGGATGGCCTCTGCATTGATTCGCCTCATGATGAAGACATCGTCCACACATGGAAGTGCTACGGCCACGATGCCCAGCAGTGGCACCGCATCGGCGTATGATACGGATGCGTGGATGGAGAAGAGGCGCTTACTGGATTTCATCCAGCAAGCGACGCAATTCGTTGGGGTTTGTGCCCCTGAATGTTGGTGAGAGACTCTGTTTGCAAAAGAGTCCCTGTTCCAATTCTCGCATCTCTTTTCTCCTCCAGTTCAGCTGATTGAACACCATGCAGAAGGAACACCTGCATTGCCGGTTCATCTGGCAAGACTTGGAAAAAAGGAGGCAGGAAGGCAGGCAGAAACACGACATGTTTCTCATTTTGGGGAAATTGACCACAGCCTTGGCTTCGGGCTAAGGTATGCTGGCTTTGTCTTTGAAGGCGCTAGCGGACTCGGGGGCTGAGAGCAAGTGCTTCAACAATCCCATCGGCGCTGCATTGTTGTACGAGGCCATGCAGCAGACGGGGATCCAGGCGAGGTTCGGAGATCGCCGTGGCATGGTCCATTTGGGAGGGACAAGGAGGCCTCGAAACACTTCACAGCCAGGCCCGGGAAAAGCATCCCATGTGCTTTTGGGGAAAGTGATGTTGACTGTGACTCAGGTGCGTGTGGAAGCCATCGTGGATTTCTTCTTCATCATCCTGCTGATTTACCTTGGCCACGAGGTAAGGGTAAGCCCAAATTTTGGTCTGTTGTTGCTTGAGTGGCCAAAAGGAAGCCACCCACTTTGGAGGGCCGCTTCGCCCAAAAAGCTGTAACACCGCATGCGGTGTCTGGGTACAGACCTTGCTCCATTTTGTTGCAAGGCAAGCCACTCCAAGACCACCATGTGTTTGGGGAATCGCTGCATCCCAAGCCTAACCTTCAAGGTACTCAAGACGTGGAACCCTGCACCACTCAGCTTGTCTAGAGGAAGTTGCCTGGGCCCATTTGCCTTCTGTCTGAGGGCGTGAGGGGTTGCAGGTCCGACATTTCAAGAACCCGAACCTGGTGCCCATCCTTTTGCTCACCTGCCTGGCTATCTTCACTACGGCCTTCAACACCATCGCCGTGGCGGCAGGATGGGGCCGCGGAATGGGCTCCGAGACCGGAGTCCTTGGGTTTTCCAAAGGGAAGGAGGGTTGCCTTTGGATTTGAAGGGAAACAGAAAGGGAACCAATATACAAAGAGGTCTTCCTATTTCGGGAAATACTTAAGTCCGACGCCTTGTTCGAGAAGGGGCAGCTGACCATAGAAAGGAAAATGCATCTTGCCAGGCATTCAGCTGTACTCCAACCGCCTAGACGGTTTCCTGGCGGCGGTGTCCAAGCACCTGACGCTCTGGAACATGATACTCTGCTCTACGGCGCCTCGCCGGATTTTGTTTTGGTTGTTTTGAAGGGCAAGCAAGGGAAGGTGCCCCATCTTAAGCTGGTAGCTTCTGAAACTTTCAACGTGTTTTAGGATTTGGTTGGGCCCGCCACGCAGTTTTGGGTCCTCTCGGCGGCTGTTGATGCGTGCATATGTGTGTATACGTTTGCCTCGGACTTCTGGGGTGTTTGTGCGCTCGCTTTTTGTGTTAATCCCTGTGTTTTTTCTTCTTCTCTTTCTCTCTTACTCTTTTTTATTGATGCTGTTTTCTTTGCATTTGCATTTGTTGTGTTTCTGTCTTTTTGTGTTTGTGTTTGTGTTTTCTTTCTTACTTTCATCTTGTTCTTTCTTTCTTTTTTTTCTTTCTCTTTCTTTTTCTTTATTCGACTTCCTTTGTCTTTGCGTTTCAACCTTTTTCTTTCTTGGATTTTCTTTTTCTTTTTGTTCTATATGTTTGTAGGTTTTCCTTTTTCTTTGATATCTCTCTCTCTCTCTCTTGCTCTCTCTTTTCTGAATTCTTTTATCTCTGTTGCTTTCTCTTCCGCTTCTGCTCTCTCTCTCTCTCTCGCTCTCTTTTCTCTTTGTCTTTGCCTCAGTTGCTCTATTGCATGCACGCCACTGTGAACAAGTGGAGGTATTTGATATTTTATTCCAATCTCGTGGCAAAAAACAACACATGCGAGCAGTGCCAGTACAACAGTTGGACATCTTGCTCAGAGGCTCAACTCGGTCCCCACCCATTTTTGCTGCCTGTATGGGTGTGGTGTCTTGTCGGGCATACCCCGAAACGGGCCCCAGTTCGCCTTAGGTTTCCCTTCAAAGCAACCCCCCAAATGGTACGAACTTCATCAACAAATGATGCCCCCACACGAGGACATCTTCTCGGCCTACATCATAGCAAGGTTCCTGTATCAGCTGCTGCTAAACATGCAGAAGCACAGTTCCTTCGGAGCAGAATGCGTCATGGACGAGAACGGGGAGTACCCCGATGCCTCCCCAACTGGTTGGCATCTTTTGAAAACCCCAACGGTGCTGTTCTTGTGTTGGTCCACTTTGATTTACCTGTTGTTCCAGAGGCTGTATGGAATCAACGGGAGGGGTGTTACTTGTTTCTCAAATGCCATGAGTTCAATGGCCAAGGCTCAGATCGGCTAAAGCGACAAAAGCTCTTCCCACGAACCTCCAAGAATCCGTTGTTGTTTTTTTGTTACCATTGTTAGTATTAGAGTTATTTTGTGTTTTTTTTGTCGGCATCCGCCGACCCCAGAAAGTTTCTTTTGTTTTCTTCTTATTTTCTTCCCCACGAACCTTGAAGAATCGTTTTTTCTTCTTTACCTGCTTTTTGCGCTTTTTGCTTTTTAGTTGGCAACTTCCCACGAGCGTCTGTTTGAGGCCTGCTACATCTTCCGGCACCCCAACTTCTTCTCCATGCTGGTGCTGTTCCGCTGGACCCACGCGGGCCTGGCGGTGCTGCAGATGCAGCGCATCGGGGTCCGCATCGTGCCGGTGGTGCACGCGGTCTCGCGCCCGGCCTCGCTCTTCTTCATGGTCTTCCTGTGCATGGCGGGGGATTTAAACGTTTGGAGCAACAGGTTTAGTTTCAACAAATGGGTCTAAGCCAGAGTTTGAACAATGACCCCTTTTCTGGAGCAAGACATAGGAGGTTTCCAGGAATGTGGTGCGTCACTGGAGTGTTGAAGTCCCTGTTCAAAGCTCCACTCTTGTTTGAACAACCTCTTGTGTTGGCTTCGACCCTAGTGGTGCAGATACAAGTGGGTCTTGCCAGCCCTCAAATTTTGGACGGTTTCGTTGCGGTTGTCCAAAAGGAGCATCCCTTATTTGGACACACCCAAGTCAAAGTGGGAGGGGCCTACCAGAAGAGGAAGCAGACTAGTCAAAGACAAACCAAGCAAGAGAAGTCAGAGAAGTGAGAACCAAGCACCCGGGCTCCCCTTGTAGGGGCTTAGTTTCTATTCTTTTCCGGACTCAGGACCTCAAAACGGGTGGCTTCCCTCTGCTTTCCCAAAAAGGCAGCCTAAACGGGGACACGCACACACACACACACACAAATGACCTGTATGAGCACCAGGCGTATCTTTCGTATTCAGGGGGGTTTTTAACAGACTTCATTGCTTCATATTGACCAGTAGCCTCAAAAATGCCAAAAGCAGGAGGGATCCTCCCACTAAACACCATCCTAAAATGGCGCGCCTAATTTTGAGCAACGCGCTGGGTTTCTCTAAATGGATTTGCTGGCTGGTGGGTTTCCAGTTGGCTTCAAGCCAAAGACCTGTCGCAGGTGGTGCTGGGCTCCTTCCACGCCTACTTCGTGTTCCCCCTGCCCGACAACGACGCGGACTCCTTGGACGGCTTGCTGGAGACGTTTTTGAAGATCTTCCGGCTGGAGATTCTGAGCGACTTCGACCTCAACGAGCTGGAGGCGAAGGGCGGTGCTAGTGCTGGTGCTGTGTGGTCCGATCTTTTTGGGTTGGACCCGCTTGGACCTGAGATTGGCATCGGGGTATGGGCCAAAAGGCTCGGCTGGATGGTTTTGGGGCTGGAGTCTTTTGTTCACCTACTTGTATTGGAATTCCCGGAATCGTGATGTTACCTTCCCCCAGCGATACAGCTGCGACAAATGTATCTGCGATAGACTATTTTGGTTTGCCCAGACCACAGTTCACACGATAATCATGCATCGTGACCCTTTCGGCTTTGCCAGGGAGGGCCCTCTCTTTTGCAGCCATGACGCGTTTCCTTGAGGAGGAAAACAGTGGGTGTAGCCGCTGAGGGCGGCTGTTGCATTGGCAGCGGAGCACGTGACGGTCCAGCTGAACATGCGCTTTGGCGCGCTCAGGGAAGTCATGGAGGGCAAGGAAGTCGTTCCCACTTGGGATGGAGCTCCGAAGGGTTGGAGACGCTACTGCAAGGACGTGGCCTGGTATGTTCGGAAGTACCTGGCGACCAGGCTGATCTCCAAGCTCACTGGCACTGCCAGGCTTCTGGCAACGAGCTGGTCGCAGGCGGAGTTCGATACGGAGGACGGCGTCACCAAGTACCTTCGGAAGCTTGCGCAGAGCCCTTTGGTGCGGAGAAGCACGCCGAACGCGGCGGCGATCATGAGCCAGTACTTCAGCTTCAAGAGGTACACCAATGAGAAGGTCGCGGACTTCCTGGTGCGGGAGCCCCTGGGATTTTGAGGAGTTCCAGGAGGAAGCAGGAGCGCAGCGGTGTCGACCCGAGTAAGCAGGCTTTTGGACTACCTGCGCCTGAAGAACGTGGTCGAGATGATGATCTTCAAGACTGGTGGACCCCGAGTCAGTGGGATCGTTGGAGGCAACGTGGAGGTAGCCGAGTGGATGACGCATCAGATGCCACAGGCTGGAGGAGATCTCGTGGCTACCGTCGGGTTTCTCAAGAAGAAGATACTGCTGACGTGGATGGGTTAGAACAAGCTGATGAACAAGCTCCTGATGAAGGAGTACCTCAAGATGATCCGCAGGAACCTCAAGCTGCATCACCTCAAGCTGGACGTCGTGATCCTGCAGAAGCGGCATCTCAGATGGACGAGGACGTGATGGACTCCTTCACTGAGTGCCACCAATGGACGCCTGGACTATGACAGCATCAGCGATGCCTTGCAGACCTTGTGGGATGAGCAGTTGACGGCAACCAGATTCCAGCCTTCACTTCCTGGACATCACCTTCATGTTGCTGAAGTAGATCACTACACTGCGTACGTGGAGGACACGCCCTACGAGGACGGGGGAGATGAATGGGGAGATGGCTGGAGCGCTGGTTGGCAATATCATGTCGGTTGGCGAGATGACGATTCTCCTGCAAGGGAACCTGCTGGAGCAGAACATGGAGAAGACGCTGATGATCCTCGATTACAAGAACTGCAGAAGGCCGAGAAGGATGCTGAGGTCTTGGCCATGGAGGCGAAGAGAACGTGGTCACAGGCTCAGCAAGCCACTGCGGCCATGACCGCCAACGGAAAACCCATGGGCGGCAAGTTCACGGGCAAGCGCATGAACTACGCGGACACGGACTGGCGCTGGGACCTGGTCATGGCGAAGGGGAAGAATAAGAACAAGAACGCCAATTGGACGACCTATGACATGGCGTATGCGTTTCCCCACGGCAAGAACAAGGGCAAGTAAGGGCAGCCAGGTCAACGCGTATGTGGCCGATTACTGCGGATTGGAGACGGAGTGTGATGAGCTCGCAAGCATGCGGACGGTAGCTTAAAAACTTTTTGTGGTGTTTGGTACCGAGCGGAGAAAGGAGGACCCCATCATCATCGGCCTCGACAAGGCTGCTCAGCGCTATGTTTTGCTAGGCGCCGGTCGGTCACGGTCTGTAGGAAGCGCTCCTGCTGAGGATGGAGCAAAGGCTTGGATGCCTTCTGCTACGCCCGGCAGCAGCGCCTGCCGTTTGCCGCCCCGCGCAGCAAGCGCTGGCTTCCTCCAGTGCTGCTGCTCCTTGTGGTAGGTCAACACGCGTTGTTGGCTGTTCACACGGTGTCAGTTTGCGATTGCCGGCGGATCTCGCGGGCGTGGCGATGGCGAAACCGAGTTGGGCAAGCTCTGAAGGCGCAAGTGAGAGACTGCAGGCTTTCGGCAAGACCATCACAGACACCTTCGCGGCCAAAGCTACTGCCACCATTTACAAAAGAACCAGATGCTACTGGAGATTTTTCACTTGGTGCAGGGCAGTGCAAGCGGGCAATGGGCTGAGGCTTGCCGAGAAGGTCGTCCACAGGTACTTGTCGTACTTGCAGGAGGAGGGCGCAGGCGCCACGAGCGGCGATGCCTTTCTACAATCCTTGAGGTTTTTCCACGCCAGCTGGGGGTTCGTTGGGTTGAACCTGGATCAGGAACTGTCAGCAAGAGTATCGGGAGTGGCACATGCATGTGCTGTACTGCAACAGGCAAGGGCTCTCTCGGTTGCTGAACTTGCAGCGCTAGAGGATATTGTTCTGGGCACAGAGGCCAGCCACGTTGGGGTTATTGCGGGATACCTCTTGTTTTGCGCCAGCGTGTTGCCGTTGTTCTGACGCGCTCTTCGCGATTGACTTCGTAGTGTCTTTGCATGGGAGCGCAGTTCTTATCGAGGCCGGAACCAATGTGCACAAAACTGCCTCCAGCAAGGAGAAGACTGTCCTTCTCCCTCTTGTGGCTCTCGGGAAGTTGTTCCGCAGTGACTCCTGGGCCGAAAAATGGTTCAGCCTCAGACAAGCCTGCGTGCCTAAAAGCATCCGCTTTGTCCTGCCGGCTTACTCTGAACAGTCAGGGAGGTGGCCCAACAGGGCAAGGACGACAGCTGAAGGCATTTTATGGATGCAGGACATCATGAGCTGGAAGTGCACCACTGGTGGTTTCCTAACTATCCACTCTCTAAAGGCTACCCTGCTCAAACGGGCCACCATGAGCAACTCCATGGACATGCAACAAAGCAGAATCTTGGGTCATCGCGTGGACCCAGGAAGTTCTTCGCCGCTCACATATGGGCGGGACAATGTGGCTGCCACACAGGTGCAGGTCGCGGCCATGCTTCAACGCATCAAAGCCGGCAGATTTGACCCGGATGAAACTCGAGTGGCCTTTGTGGATAGACAGATAGCATCCTTCTGCGCAGAAATCGACAAATCCGACGAGCATCTGCAGTATGGCGATTTGGATGCAGTCAATGCCTCGGACGTGGAAGATGCAGACGAAGCTGAGGCTGAAGCTCATGAATCTAAGACAGCGCTGAGAATTTTCTTGCCAGAGGCCGCTTCCGATAGCCGCATCATGCAGCGCTTGGTGTCCGGCACTTTGCATGTGAAAGGCTTAGAAGACCGCTTCATGTGTGGCAGATTCATTTCCGTGGGCTACCAGTTCCCGCCAGGCGATCTTGTCAGGGAGTGGCCCTTGTGCCAGCAGTGCAGCAGGACATATTTGGCAATGTTTGACATGTCAATGCAAGCGCGTGAAATATGCAGCTCGCAGCCAGCGGTGGTCCATGTGTCAGGTTGGTTTAATTTGTTTTTCTTTCAACGAGCCAGGGGACTTTGGCCAGTCTTATGCCGATTTTGAAGGGAATAGCTCCTTAGTGTCCATGTTTGAGAAGGTCAGTGTCTGGTAAGTGCGGTGCACGTGCGACCCCACTTCAGTTTGAAGAGGCCATTGTCTTGGCCCTCCCTATTGTCATTGTGCCGGGATTGTGTAGGCCCTTTGAAGCAAGGGCGCGTGCCGTTGCATTACCGTGGAATTGTAATTTGAATCAGCGGTTCGAGCAACTTTGAGTTTCTACCATGGACAGCGAGGCCTCTTTTGAGGATAGGGCCAGACAGATAGGCGTTTCACTCGATGGCATAGCAGCGCCCAAGCGCCGCAGTTTAAACACAATTGGAAAGTTTGCTTTCCTGTCGGCGTATCAGCCAGGTAGTGCAGATGAAGGGCCATTGGTCACAGCCCTGGAAGAAGTCCTAGGGGCTCGGCCAGACGCTGCAAACATGGTGTCATGGCGCTGGTTCTTCTTTGAGTCGCACACCTTGGCAATGTCAGACCTGAAAGCGCGCTTAGAGCGCAAAGGGGAAGAGGAACCCAGAAGGCTCCTTATGCCCGAGCGTGTCGAGAAGTTGCGCCTTGCCAAGCAGGAACTGGCCGGGCGTCACGATCGATGCTCATTTAGAGCCCGCGCATAGGCTTGTTGATGCCACAGTTCAGCAAGCAGAAGATTCCTCACTGCGGTACATCGCGCTGACAGAATGCGTTTCGCGTGAGATGGAGCTTCTGAACCAGAGGAAGGGCTCGGCAATTGAGTTCTCTGCAGATGGCGCCATGAAGCTGAGCCGAAAGCAGAAGGAATTAGAATGGACATTTCCGGCGAGCTTCGTGTCCGTATGGCCATGCAGAGGAGGGCGCTGGCTTACCATTTGGCGAGTGTGTGTTCCTTTCCAAAGCTTGACGCAATCGTACAAAGAATGTTCTCGCCCCTCACAAAGGAGCCAGCCAAGGGATTCCGCGCCGTGTCTCTGCAGCAGCTCATCATGGCCGACCAGGAAATGTGGCTGACAGCCGCTCAGCAATTGCGTGGCAAGCAGCTAACTGACATCAGCAGGCCAGTGGATCAGGCCTTGCAGACTGCTTTTGATTTGCCTGAAGTGAGGTACCACCCAAGCCGCCCAAGCCGCAACAAAGGAAAGGGCAAATCCAAAGGCGTTGACTTGCCTTCGGGGTGTGTGCCGGAAACACCGTCAAAGCAATTTGTTTCCAGTGTAACAAAGAGCGGTGCAATCAGGATGCAGACAGTTGCAGCAGGGGATTGCATGTTTGCTGGAAGGCAGGCTGCCATGGAAAGCATCCGCGCACCAGGTGCAACTGCAGCTGAGTTACAACGCAAGGGTCGGAAGCGCTTCGGCCGGCCCCGGGGCAGTCAGCAGAAGCAGTGAAGGTCGGCCCTTTTCAATTTTCCTTACCGGTTCCGTTCGCTTCCTTGAAGCCAGTAGATTTTGTGTGCCCTCTTGAGCAGCTATTGGTTCTGGAAGTGTTCGCGGGAGTGGCCTCGCTTTCACACGAATGCCAAGCAGCAGGTTTCACTGTGATGTCAGTTGACCAACAGCAGCACAGATTTTGCAAAGCAAAACCTCTGAAGCTTGACCTCACAAAGCCCAAGGACCAATGTATTCTTTTGCATGCATGCGTTTTTGCGAACGTTGCGTATGCGCACTTCGCACCGCCACGCGCAACATCTTCAGGGGCGCCGCCGCTCAGATCTGAACAGCGCCGCATGGGCTTTCCATGGCTGCAGGGCCAGGACAGACAAAGAGTGCATTCAGCAAACGTGTTGTACGCCCTTACTTTGATTGCGGCGCTGCTGGTCCACCGACGAGCAGTCGTCAGCGTGGAAGGCCCCAGCAGCTCATACACGTGGTTTGTCTTAGGACTCTTTGCAGCAAACACGCAGTTTTGCAACAGTCTTGGCATAGTCTGCAATCGAATGTTTTTGCGGCCTGCATGCGCGGTGGCGCTTTTAATGAGCTCACAAATTGGCGAGGAACCAAGGGCATTTTCGAAAACTGCGAAAACTATGTGACGGGTGCCACCAGCGTGCAGAGCGGACGCCATGTGCTGCTGCCAATGGCCAGCCTATGTTTCCACCAGCAGCAGAAACAACTCACCCCGACCTGTTGTGCCAGCGCGTCCGTCAGCTTGTTTTGCATGTTTGCCATTCAAGAGGGGCAATCGTTGCAGATGCACACCTGGCAAACGCGCGCTTGGTTCGTGGCCGTGCTTTTCGGCAAGCCGGGCAGCAGAAACTGCCGCCCTTGGTTGCAGAATGCGCAGTGATCACAGACACTAAGCCCTCAGACATGTCTATGGCCAAGCAGTTGAACCATGTTCCTTTCTTGAAAAGGGGGGACGTTTCCTCAAAGAGCTGTGTACCAAAGTTGAGGTGCAGGATGAACAGGCTGCCCGTTTTGGCATCTACAGGTCTCCCCATGAGTTTTTCCTTGCGTGTTGGGAAGCTTGGCATCCGCTTGACTTTGCTTTTCCCTTGCCTGACATCTTGATGAGAAATGTGGCCAGGGTCCTGAACGATGGGCCCCAGCTCATAGTTGCCAGACGTAGGCTGCAAATGAAAAGATTCAGAGGAGACAATTGCAGCTGCAGCTGCACAACTCGCGTCATCACGAAGCCGGGCTGGTCCTGAAAGGCAAGAATCTTCTTCTGTGGAAAGAGCTGATGCAGGAAACTGGACACAACGACTCTTCATTGTTCAATGAGGTGGTCAGGTTCGAGTTGCGTGGGCAATCTCCTGCGAGCCAAGAGTTCCCCCAAGACGGGTATGTCCCTCCGCAGCAATCGGTGGAAAGTTTGAAAGCCAGGCGCTGTGGATGAGGAAAGCCTCAACAGGAAAATGCAGGTCGACTGGTGACAGGCAGCTTGATGAAGAGGTCTGGCTGAAAACACTCTGCGCAGAGCTCTCCAGAGCTGAGCTGCGAATTGTTGCAGCTGCTCTCCAGCTCAATTTCGTTCGCATCGTATTTGGCAGCAGATGGCAAGGCGCTGAAAGGAAAAGGGGGAGAGATTGCTTGAACCATTGCTTGTACATTGTGACAGCAGTAGTGTCGCTTGGCATTGACAACCACAGCTTTGTGCTTGTGTCACGGCCCAGGTAGGCTGATTGTGAAAGAATTGTGTGTGTCATCTCCCCTTTTAAGTTGCCAGAAGCATTGTTTCTGTGCTTCCTTGAAAAGGCGCAAATAAGTACGATTGTTTTTGTAGGCTTGATTGTTTTGTGCAACCACATCCCTTACGTCTGAGGACGGACAAGGCAGCGTGCAGTTCGGTGTCTGCTCATGATGCTCATGGCTGATCATGCACCGTTGGCTCTCTAGGGTTTGGCTTACAGGATGATGCCGTTCAACTTGTTGAGAGGCCTATCCTTTCAGAACAAACCCTTGAGCTTTGTTTTGCTTGTTGGGTTGCTTTGTCAGGAATTGAAACCAGACGAGTCACATGTTCAAAGAGGGCAAGATATGTCCCTGCCAGAGTGTGTGGCTCAGGGCGAGGTAGGGTGGGAGCGCCAGACGTTTTTGTTTTTCACTCCCGCCCGCCCAAGCCCACAATTGTCCGGCATCATTCATTGTCCGGCATTTGCCAATTGAGGTTGTTTCATTGTTGTCAGCCTACAGGCTGCAGTCGTGCTTCATGCATATTGTCGCACTGGTGCATTGTCTGGCGCTTTGCGCATTGTCTGGCGCTTTGCGCATTGTCTGGCGCTTTGCGCATTGTCTGGCGCTTTGCGTATTGTGGAGAGATTGCTTGAACCATTGCTTGTACATTGTGACAGCCGTAGTGTTGCTTGGCATTGACAACCACAGCTTTGTGCTTGTGTCACGGCCCAGGTAGGCTGATTGTGAAAGAATTGTGTGTCATCTCCCCTTTTAAGTTGCCAGAAGCATTGTTTCTGTGCTTCCTTGAAAAGGCGCAAATAAGTACGATTGTTTTTGTAGGCTTGATTGTTTTGTGCAACCACATCCCTTACGTCTGAGGACGGACAAGGCAGCGTGCAGTTCGGTGTCTGCTCATGATGCTCATGGCTGATCATGTACCGTTGGCTGTCTAGGGTTTGGCTTAAAGGATAGACCTGAATCAGTCGGTTTTGCTTGAACATGTGTCCTGAACAAAACGTCTCGCATCAGGGCCTGGACCCTCAGATCATTGCCAAGATGACGGGCAAGGGGGGCATCACCGGGTCCATCGAGGACGAGGAGGGGAGCCACTTCTACCACCGGGGCATCCGGGGGGAATTCGTGATCTTGTCGGTGCTGGTGACGGTGGTGGCCATGAACGTCTACATCGGATTGCTGAGCGAGCTCTACGAGGTGCGCTATGACCCCGACCTTTTGGGGTTTGCTTCGGGGCCGGGGGCAAAGCGCCTGGGTCAAAGGATTTCACCTGGCAATGGGCCTGTCTGGTTTTCAACTGGGCAAAAGGACCCTGTGAGGCGGCAGAGCAGCAGAGCAACCAACTCTTTATGCACTTCACAGCTGAAGTGAGATATCGCCACCTCTCCCGGCTGGCGCTCTGGGAGACGCTCGCGCTGCACAATGTCAATGTGTTTGTTTGATTGTTTGATTGTTTGATTATTTGATTGTTTGATTGTTTGATTGTTTGTTTGTTTGTTTGTTTGTTTCTTTGTGTGCTGGTATCAGAGGGTACAGGAGTCCGTGTGGCTTGACCTTGGCTGATGCGTTGGCGGCCTTGCAGACTTGCAATGAGTGTGTTTGAATTCTCAAGTTGAGTTGCCAAAATCTTGCTTTAAGTGCTTGTTTTGTGCCTTGTTTTGTGCGACGATGCTGTAGGAGAGTGACCTGCCAGAGAGAGGAGCGCAGAGACAGCAAGGGCTTATTGTGGCTGTCCTACAACAGCGCTGTGGCTGGAGTTGGCAACATGTTCCAGCCTTCGTTTGTTGTTTCATGTAGTCGGCTTGACAAGCCTTGAGACTCACCCTGTGAGGTAAGCGTGTCAAGGATCCTCGCTGATCCAGGCGCAAAGAGAATCGTACTGTATCTCGGGCAGCGTGCACCAGCAGCGTGCATGAAGGCCGACTTTCATCTATCGCTCCTTGTTCAAGCTCGCTCAGCTCGATGAGGTCGAAAGGAATTTCATACATCTTTGCATCGTAATCCAACTGGAAGCCTTCGAGTTACTTGCATCGCTACGGAGCAATTTGGCAGGAAGGGCATGGCAGACTAACCGGCAATGTGCGATGGAGCCGTGCACCGCGGCCGGCCGCACCTCGGCAGCATGAAGGCAGTAGCAGCGCTGATGGGAAATCGAAGTCGTTTCTCTCGCAGACCAGGCCGGGTGCTGCAGAGGCTGCATGGCTGCGAGCCTGGCTGGGCGAGGATGACCTTCCTGGCCGTTCGGAGGCGGAGGTGCCGGTGGCGGAGGCGCTTACGTTGGCGCTGCCTCAGCTGCTGGCCGCGGACTTGGCGCCGTTGGTCGCGGCCTCCGGAGGTGCCCGGGCAGCAGTGCGGGCGGCCACGTGGCAGCTGTGCCGGGCTCGCGGCCTGCGGCCGCTGCCGCTTCCATCGCTGCAGTGGTTCCAGACCGCGCGGCTCTATGAGAACTTCGACTCGTCGGCGCTGGCGGGGCCATCGGGGTGGCAGCGCTGGGGCGACCTCGCAGAGGACGAGGAGCGGCGGGTGATGGGGGGCGGGGCCTTCCGAGTGCAGCTCACGCGGCCGCACCCCGACGCGGTCTTCGGTCGCGGTGCACGCCTGGACTTCGGGGCTTCTTGGCACCCGAAAGTGGTGTCGGTGCGCCTCCGCATCGAGGCCCCGGCATCCCGGAGCTTCTCCGGGGGCCAAGTAGGCTACGTGATCTTGGGCGACACCACGCCGGCCTGGGAGTGCGGCTCCCGGTTCGGCCACGAGGCCATCTTCCTGTTCGCCTCAGCCGGCCCAGAGGGCTTCGACTTGGAGTGGTGCGTGGGCTCGGCTTCCGCGCTGGTGGTGAGCATGAACAAAGAGCAATACGGCAGTTGGGTTCGCTGCGGCATGGCGCTGAATTGGCCAGACCGCGAGCTGCGAGTTTGGGTCAACGGCCACTTCCTGGGGCGCGTGCCCTTCAGAGACTCGGCCTGCGAGAAGGCAGAGCATTTGACGCTGGTCAACTCGGGAGGGCCTGCAAGGGCCAGTTGGAGCGAAGTTGTGGTAGTGTAGCAGAAAAGTGCCAGGGTTCTGATGTTGTTGCCAGATTTGGTCCTGAATTAGTGTCAACGCGTTCAGCATTGGCGACAGTTGCTTGTCGCCTGCGGCATTTTTGGCTGGAGGGTCGCCATGTTGCGCCCACCCTAGAGCATTAACGAAGCTTGGGAGGCCGCGGCGTGCAAGAGTGCAAGGGCTTCTTCTTTCAAACACAGATCCTGCGGTGTTGCCAGGCCCGCATATGAGACGCTGGCTGCTACCTGCGGTTGCCACACGGCGGCGCTTCGGATTTTTGCCCTTGGCATTGGCAGGTTTGGCAACGAGGTCGGAGATCGTGACAATCAGGTTCCGGCCAGCTGTTTTTTTGACACTCCGCGCTGAGGTTGCAGGGGGTGCCAGTGCTGTGAGCCTGAAGCTTATGGCGGATGGAAGCACGTCGATGGCATTTGGAGGTTGTTTGCTTTTCTGTGCAAGTTGCATGTTTTGATGGACTTGAGCATTGAGCACCCATGGTTTGCTAGGCTACCTCCGGCAACAAAGCCATGCAGAGGACTGTCCGAATGCAGGGCGCTGCCTCAGGACTAGGCTGTGCTTGTCCTGTACCCAGGACAGTTCGTCCATCGCATCGTGATACCCCCAGAGACCAAGAGAGCGAAGCCATGGCCTGCGCCATGGTGACGCCTGCAGGTTGGTGGAGCTAGTTCAGGCAGACCTGGGGAAGGCTGGACATCGACCGCCATGAAAATCAGCAGCACTCTCGCTACGCGTTTTCAATCAAGAAGCCCCCGTCATTTTCCATCAAACGAAGATCGCAGCTGCAACTCAGCTCACTTGCTAGGGAATATGCTGCTCGCCAGGCAGCGGTTCAGACGAGGGATGGCTTCCGAGTTGGCGAGTCCGGGCCTGGGGTCTGTTTGTACGCCCCGAAGGAGTGAAATAGATTGAAATAGATTGATGAGAAAACGGCCGGGGAACGCGAGCCGAACCAAGGTCTCTCGGCCCTGATCCCGTCCTGAGCCGTGGCCCTTGCGTATTTGCCTCTCGATGCTTTGGGGGAGACAGCTGAGGCCAGTCCTGGGGCGCGGCCGCCTCAGACACTCCGAAAGGGACGTGTTGCTTTGTCTATTTTGTCTCACTCCAATACAGATGGAGGGGGCTTGTCAATATGTCGTAATTACAGTATGCTTTGTGACCCCCAATTGAAGGACAACACTAGCCGTCACTCAGGTCCCCAAACGCGTCCTTGTTTTTCACATCCCACAGAAGTAAGTTTGAGCAACTCTTCCATTGGCGGTGTGAACACAGGCACCCGCGCCAGCCTTCGCCCCTGTGCCCGGGCTTGCGGGGTCGCCGATAGCGTTTCCTGCTGCAGCACCTGTTGCTGCGCCTGGCCCTGTGCCCGCGCCGGCGTTTGCTGGGGGTCTCAGGGCGTCACGGAAAATGATTGCAGAGGATTAGAGCGAAACCAGACGAGAGCTGCTCATTTTGGGGGACACCAAAAGCGCGTTCATTTCGGAGGCACCCGCGCCCGCGCCGGCGCCCTTTGCGCCGGCGCCCTTTGCGGCGCCAACGCCCTTTGCGGCTTTCGCCCCGGGCCCGGCGCCCGCGCCGGCGCCGGCGCCCGTGGCGGCAATCGCGGCGGCGCCCTTCGCAGTGCCCCCGGCGTCCCCGGAGTCCGCGCCGATGCCGGCGCCGGCGCCAGCGCCGATGCCGATGCCGGCGATTGCTGGGGTCTGAGAATGGCAATGGATGTTGGCCTGTGCCATATTGGGTTAAGCTTAGGGGCTCAGGTGATGCCAGGCAAAGCTTCTGCTTCGCTGGATGCCTCAAGTGCTCCGGATGATGGCGATGTCCGGAGCCAAGCTCAAAAATTGGCCCCAGCTTTGCGTGCTTGCTCTTCCCCTGTTCCGTGAGGCAACTTTCACAGAAACTGTGAAGGGAGTGGACCACGATCTGCCCGGACCTTTGGTGTTGGTCAGAGCGAATGACTGAAGAGCGCACGAGAGCTATGTCCCCTAGCCGTACGAGTACCAGGATTGAGATTTGCTATGCTTTGTTTTCCTTTGCGGATATCCTCATGTGCGCGGAGATCTATGCAAGACATCCATGTCAAGGGATTTTTGGAGGCTGACCCCAGACCCATGCTGCCTTCAATTGGCTTTTGCGAAACAAACACATCAGACATCACGACTTTCACCACCGTCATACCTCAACACACTTGGGGAATTGCTCAAACACATGAACCAAAATGGCACCTTGGCAAATGGAACCGAAGACGACCTGCGTACCCCAATTTGTTTGGTATTGAGCCACACCCACTTGGGGGTACACACGAAAGCCAGCCCATCCAAACCGAGCCCCTCGACTCGAGGCTGGTGGGCCAGCCGCAGCTGAAGGATTCCTTCCAGGGCGCCGTGCAGCGAGTGCTGGCCGCCGAGGTGGGACACGGCCTCCAGGCGCAAGGGGGGCGCGCGGACGCCGGGGGGGGGGATTGAGAAGTTCAGCAGCGCGCCCGCGGTCTGTTTTGGGGCTGCGCCTCGGTTTGGTGCAAACCAGCTTCTTGGGAAGCCTGCGGGGTGTTTCTGCGCGGATGGAACGCCAGGCCAAAGAAATCGCCGTGGTGCTGCGGCCAGCGCCCGGGGCGGTGGTGGTCCAGGCGAGCCTCGCCTAGGTTTGCTTCCCCCTTTAACAGGGTACCATCAAACGGCAACAAATTTTATTAGGGAACGAGACAATTGTTCCCCAACAGCTGAAAGCTTTGTCTCAGCCCAGAGGTTTTGGGGTGGTCCGGGGCGGCCCTGAGGTAAGGTTCTACGAGGGTTCCACCAGGGTTTGACCAGGTTTCCACGAGGTTCTGCGAGGGCTGCGGGGTGGTGCGAGCACTAAAAAGAGCACCGCATGCTGTTGGGGATATCACCTGAGCTTGTTTTGTGCAGATTTGGCAGGATCTTCATTGGATATAAAACCTTAAAGCTCTTTTTGCAGAGGGGTCAACAGCAACCAAAATTGCTTGTCTTTGTGAGCAATTATCAATATTCACTATCAGTGCTGCAAAGTGATGACACGGCACAGCACCACACCGTCCCCTGAAGTACAGGAGAATTACGTTACCCAAGACGTGACCATTGACCGGGGCTCCGAGTGAATCCCTTCGAACTTCTGAGTGCAAGCTGTTGCGTCCCGGCAGTCTACCATTGCCGTGCCCAGCGGCATGACCAAAGCGGCTGTCAGGTGGGGTGTGGGGGTTGCCGTGCCAGGAGGGCAGGGGAATGGATCAAGCTTGAAATGGCCATTCCCAAGCCCAAGCGAGTGACTCCGCTTCACATGGCAACATGGTTCCAACAAATGTGGAGCTGGCTGCCAATTTCTCGTTCCAAGGTGAGGCCGAGTCCCTATTCTTACCCCTCGTCAAGGCTTGATTATCTCAGTACAGCTCACGAGGACAACACCCGGGGTCTTTTTTTGAGCCTACCTTTGGGGTTTAGGGAACCAAAGCGACCCCGCAGGGGTTCCCTCTTCATTTGACCACTTCCCTCGACGGGGTCAGGCAGAGTCTGTGCAGCAGCACAGATCTGGAGAAGAAGCTGGCGCTGGGCCCAATGAAAGGGCGAATCACTTTGATACATGCTAAAGAATCCCCACGTTTATCATGTCGTCATGCTTGCATCTGAATATAGGGGAAGCACATGTAAGGAATGCCAACTCACGCAAACGGCGCTGGCCTATGTTGCTACCGCGTTCATTGTAAGCGTAGACATTCTATCGTAGCTGTTCGTCCAGTCTTGCAGAGGATCCCTCTTTACAGATACAGAAAGCTGGGACGCACAATTCGGGCATGCGGTGTTCCCTAATTGTGGACAGTTGAACAGGGATATGGTCAGTTGCATGCAGGTGCAGGTTGAAGTTTTCTCATCGTGGAAACAATAGAGCGCAGACAGAACGGGCGCAAAGGTATGACAATTGGTGCCCCTGGGGTCACTACCAGCATGTCTGTTTGATTTCCCCCCTTTTGTGTTGTTTTGAGGAGGCCAAAAAAAACCCAGCCACTTCGAGGGGGTCGTCCCCGTTTGGAGAAACCCGGGGCCCATCAGATGGGAAGTGGCCCCTCAAGAGGCCGAGGAGCTGGACAAGCTGGAGCTGGGCACAGCGGCGACAGGCCAGGGGTATCCATGAAATGCAAAGCAGATGGTGCGAAATGTCTTTGTGACCCTCAAAGGGACTTGAGGGGTTTGACCATGTTTTGAGTGCTTTGTTCAAGGGTTGACCATGTTTGAGTTTGAGTGGGGAGCCTTGCAAACCTCTGGTGGAAGTGATCGACTCCGCCTGATTTCAGTAGAATTGCCAAAAACTGCGGTGAGACAAGGATTTCTCGCGCAGAGATGCGTGAACATTGCCGGAAAAGTCAGAAAACCGGGATGGCAAGTGAGTTGTAGCCTAGAGGAAACGCCTGGCGAGTTTGGGCACGTGCATCGCTGGGTAGGTGCCCTGTCGGTACATCCGGACAAGGAGTGTGAGGAGCCGCTGCCTTTGGGTTGCAAAGTGATCCCAAATTTGGACCCATGGCATCATGGCTCGCTTTGCGACAAGGGTCACGCTGGGAGGGTCAGCACTGCCTGCCAAATGCATGAGGAACAGGCTTAGGCTTGCCCGGCACCATTCCAAAGACGAGATGTGGCGACCCTTTCGGCTCAGATGTGCTCGAGGCTTCTACCCCGCCCTGCCATTTGGGCATCCTGACACCCCTCGAGCGCCAGGAGAGGACCACTTCGTCAGCCGAGCCTGTTTCAGCTGGACCAGTCACCCCTGGCTTTGCACGTCTTGATGTGCATACATGGTGGTGCAAAGCTGGCAAATGAGGGGTGTCTCCCACAAAAGACGGCCAAGAAACGGGAGGTGGGCACTTACCCATTCTTGCAGGCCCCGTATTCAGCTCGGTCGGATCGGGCTCCAGTCTTGTAGCAAACAGCACAAGTGAGCCATGCGCACAACAAGTGCATAGATCTGGCACAATGGCCGCTTCCCTTGATCTGAACAGAGCTGAAGCGCCAGGTGACTTGAGAGCCCCATGGTTCCATGTTTTGAGGCAAGAAAATATCCAGGTCAACGTGAGCGTATGAAACCCTAAAACACGGAAGTGTGCTCCACTTTCTTTCATGAGCTGAGATGGGGCGGGCCGGGTGCCTCAGCAGTTTTCCACCTGCAAGTCGGCTGAGCCGCTGGGGTGGAGTTTCGGTTCCATTTCCTTAGGTACAGTGGCAATGTGCCATCTCCTTGAGAGTTCGGTCCAAGGCAGAGAAAGAGACGCGGGAGAAGGACAAGGAAAGGAAAGATAAGGAGCCTTTGCGCATAGCAGAGATCGCAGTGGTCAGCACTTGCGACGCTTTTCAAGCTGACCAGGAGCGCGAAAAGTCAAAGGATGGTAAGGTCAAGAAGGACAAACCCAAGGACAAGAAAGCTGATGATGATAGTGAAGATGACAAGGAGAAGGAGAAGGAGAAGGATAAGCTTGCGTTTCTAAACGCACTCAAAGGCTTGCGTGATAAAGACAAAGGGAAAGCCAAGGAGAAGGACAGGGAGTGATGCGAAGCCTGCTAGTGACATGTGTGATATAGGAAGACAAAGAAAAGGCCACTTTTTGCGGATTCCCCAATTTTAAGACACCCGTGTTGTATGGCTGTGTGCCTTTCTTTTGAGACGAGCCTGAGATCAGCACAGTGTGCACGATGTGTTGACCATTGGCTGGCATCAGCCCCGTTCGCAGGAGGCATGTTCTTTGGTGCTCAAGTGCTGTTGTCTCAGCTGGCATTTTTCTGCAGCCAACGAGGGCGCATCTTGTCCGTGCCCATTTCTTTTGCTGAGTTCTTGACACCAAAAGCAGGCCCTCATGATTCCCAAGCCGCTGGAGGTCAGGGAGCAAACGACAAGTCTCAAGTGTCTCGAAATCGAGCACTGGTGAGCCGGCACTTGCAATTTGCTCTTTGCACAACACATGAAAGTTGGGGGGTCTTGAAATGGGGGACCTTCCACAAAATGGCGTGTTGGCCTGTGAGTCCATTGGTTTCCTTCCGGCTCTTTCAGACCCCAAGGAACGCACCCTGAAAAGAGACTTGGAACTGGCCACGCGCTTTCAAAAAAATCATGGAGGACCGAAAGAAGAGTAGCTCCAGCCCCAGTCCTCCGCGGAAGGCGCGGAAGGGAGCCTCGTTTTTCCCTGGTAAAACCCACCGAGAACCGAGGCGTTTGCCAGAAGACCACGCCCATTTTGCGAACTGGGCAAACGTGTCATGCCACGGTCTCATTTTATCAAGAACATGTTTTCGACCCTTGCATTGATATACTGTTTGAAACACGGGTGTTGGTGCCGATGAAGGAAGGGTTTATTACGCTTTCGGAGAAGCTGTGAAGTCAGTCGTTCTTTCCTGCCGAGCAAGGAACCCCTGGCAAAGGCATGCCCAAGCAAGGGACTATGCTTTGCCTCGCTTCCGGTGAGTTGGGAGGACCGAAAGACCAAGCGGAAGCGAGAACCCAGCAGGCTGGCCCCTTGAGCATTGATCATTCAGATCATGAATGGATTCCCGCGGTGGCTGGTAACTTAGAGTGTAATGCGCATGCAACGTCGGCTGACACCGCTTCCGCTCTCTGGGAGGGCTGCGTGCTGACAGGTCTAGGGACGACTCCTCCGGTGCGGCCGAGCAGGTTTTGTTGGTCGGAGAGATCAGGGTGGAGGTGATTGGGCTTCCTACTGAGAAGGCTTTAGAGCCACGGACGAAGGGCCATGGTTCTTGTCAGCTGTCAAGCTTGTGAACTGGTTTGCTTTGGCAAGCCTCGGGCGGCCTGGATGAGTGCCGGATCATCCGTCATCCTTGAAGCTCTGTCATGAACCAAAACACATTTCAAAGCCGGGATCCCACCATGGGTCTCCCGGGTGTCCCTTTGGTTTCTCTCTGGTCTCCCTGCAAGACATTTCCTAAAACCATACCCGGAACGGCACCTGCGGCCCTTGCCAGGCTCCGCGACGCCCCCGCCCCCGAAGAAGGAGGAGGGGGGTCTGAGGGGGTTTGGGCGGAGGTGGGCGGCGTCCAGAGACGCACGTCCTTGGAGCCCCAAAGCGGGCTCTTGGGCTCTTTCTTTGACCCCCTTTCTGAAAAACACGTGCCAAGGGCTGGTCGATATATGTTTTTGGGGGAACCCTGGAATTTGAGTCTATCTTGGGGCAGCGAAAGAATGAGACACCCTGGATGGCGGCTCCCAATGAGTCGTGCACACACGCGAACCTATGACCTTGTGGCCACTTTTGGGTTGAGGACTCGGACCTTGTTCTTGTCCTTGAAACTCTGTCATGCTCCATCCCGCTGGGTGCCTTGAAGACAGGCAACAAAAAAGGGTTGCTCGTCCCTCTGATTCCGTCATCTCTATCTGGATTTATTTCCTAAAGACACAGGACATTCACACGAAAGATGGCCTCTCCCATATGCCACAGTCAAAGCGTACACGCGTATGGGTTCTTATTGCAGGAATCATGATGCATAGGACAGGTTTTGGGAATTTTGGCCGTGACACGCATGAAGACACCCGAAAGCTATGTGTTGTCTTTCTTGGTGGGAGAGCACGAGACAACGCATTCGCTCATCACTCATCCGCTCCGCACAAAGCGCCCACCCCCAAGACTTCATATCGGGGTCGAATGTCCCAAAACCCAGACAATGAAAGTTACCGTTTCTGCTTTCCAAATCCCAAGTGATCACTTGGTCAAGTTTGAACCACCCATGAGAGTCACTTTAATGGGCGTGGGCTAAAAGAATGGCGGGGTTTTCACAGTGGGGATCCCTTAGCGTGGTTGGTTTCCATCGGTTCCCCCCCTTCCCCCCCCCTTCCCCCCTTCCCCCTTCCCCCCCTTCCCCCCCCCCCCCCCCCCCCCCTTCCCCCCCTTCCCCCCCTTCCCCCCCTTCCCCCCCCCCTTCCCCCCCCCTTCCCCCCCTTCCCCCCCCCTTCCCCCCCCTTCCCCCCCCCCTTCCCCCCTTCCCCCCCCTTCCCCCCTCCCCCCCCCAAACCAACCCATCCAAGAGATCCCGACGGAAAGCGAGGTGCGGGAGCTGGTGACCAGCTCGGGCTTCGGGGCCCCGCTGGCGCTCACCTCCAACGTGGTGCCGGCTGCCGTGGGCGCCAGCGACGCCCGGGCACCCGAAAACCCAAAAATTGGGGTGGACGGGGGGTTTTCTCCTTGGTTTTTTGTCTGGGAGTGAATACTTCTTGCCTTTTTCTCTCATGGCTTTGTTAGCTTTATCGACTTGCTTACTTATTTAGTTGGCTGGCTGCCTGGCTGTCTGGCTGGCTGGTCAGTTGGCTGGCTGGCTGGCTGGCTGGCTGGCTGGCTGGCTGGCTGGTTGGTTGGTTGGTTGGTTGGTTGGTTGGTTGGTTGGTTGATACGAAGCCCATTTTGCCTGCCAGGGGAATCAAAGTCGGAACTGAGGTTGCTGCCAACCAATTTTGCTATTGCCCCCTTCCTCGTGTTAGCCTCTGGCTCACTTTTGCCTGTACTGTTCTAACACACAATCCGGACGCATGTCACTACAGCCGTACTTTCTCGCAGTCTTCCGGGCCTTCTACTTTCACACTCCCGGCTAAGGTCATCGGCGTTTTCTGCCGTTCCGCCGGCGCAGATCAGAACTCGGAGCAAGCTCTGAGAGCGCTGTCGGCACCTCAAATGAATATACACACACATATATGGGCAATCAGTCTTAAGTGGTTGGGGGTACCCCTTTTTCGACACAACTCATATACACGGCGATTCCCTAGCCCAGCAACGTTCGGTTTTCACCATTGCCTTCTGTAGCAAAGGGAGTGACATGGGGCACAGACAACAAAGTACCAAGGGACAATTGAGGTTTCTTCCTATGTCAGTTGGGGGACACGAGGAATATGTTTTACCATGTTGAACAATGGCGTGTTTTGGTGGCTTCTAAGTCAGGACGGAAGGGAAGAAGCACCTTTTGGAAGTGTCCCTAGATTGCGACGCATCCATGTGCATGAGGGCAGATGTCGTTCTGTCGGTTTCTTCGCTACCTTGGCCTCGTGGGTGTCGGCTTCTGCTGAGGCCACCCCACTTGCAGCAGCTGGTTATGGCTGAAGGCGGGTGTGCGTTCGTTGCGGCGGAAGGCTTGGACCATTGGAGCCGTTCTAGGCTCCATTGCGGGCGCGAACCCCTCAGCTGTCCTCATGGGGCGGATACGAAAGGCTGGTGCCTCAGAGGGAACAAGAGATGAGGCTTGGATGGTGCCCAGAAGGATGACCTTGTCCGGAGGTTTTGTCCCTCTTTCGGTCTCTCGCTCTCTATCTCGCCCTGTCCATTTGTCGGTCGTCTGTCTATCTGCCTGTTTCTGTTTCGCTTGCAGCGACTCAGCCGCTGCGCTTTCGGCTCAATAGCCGGAATCTGTTCGGCTCGCGAGATTGAAACCCCTTGTCCCACGTGTGGGGCCCAGACGGTGTGATGTCACGCTTTGAAAGAGCTGCGAAGTGAGCATCGCCCAACGCTGCAGTGTTTGTGGGACTGTTGCCTTGGGGATAATTGGGGACGCGTGTCCACAACGACCAGGATCGTGGGATCGAATCCCTACTCCCTAAGCCCCCGAAAAAGACTGTAAGGCTTTAATTTTTAATGGTTCGTGTTTTGGGGAAAAGGGAGTGCAGGAGATCCTATGAGGCTGCAAACCATGTTTTGCCACTGGAAGTGCGGCGACGAATGCGCGCAATTCAGGCCTGGGCGTGAGTTCCATACCTTCACCTTACCTCCCGAGTCCGCCCGGGCCCTGGAGACATTGGAGAGCCCGGATTCTCAATTTCTCCTTTTGGTCGGGTTTGTTGCAGCTCTTTGTGTGTGAAGCAGTCCGGTCGAATTGGTGCACGCAAATCCAGCTCGAAGGGCGCGTGCTGGGCACAAGAAGCTCAACTGAAGTGCACACGATTCGTAAAAAGAATGGAGCCCATCTTGATGGATCGTGCCTTTTGGAAGGACGCAAAGAGAGACGTGCCATGCTGTTTCATCCATCCCCGGAGTTTCCAAGCGAACGTCAAGGGTAAGCGATGACACTGACAGGCCATGGCTCGAGCTGGACGATGCCTTCAGGCAGGCAAGTTGAGTTGAGCTTGCTTCTCTGGCTCCGTAGGCTACTATGCGTCGCACGGCCAACATACTGTGGATGGACGAATTCAATTCCTGCACCACTTTGAAACCACGGGGAACCATTGTTTGCTTGGTATTTTCAAGGGACCCATCAATCCAGGATTTTTTTGGTGGTGCAGGATTTCGTCCATCCACAGTAGGTGTTCCTTTGTCTTGGGGACCCCTTGTTTGGTTTCAAGGCAAAGCCCAGCGTTTTGGAGTTGCCCTTCCATTTGAGACACCCGCATGCACATTGATGGTGTGCAACGCAGCCTGTGGAGTGGTGCTCAGATGGCCATTTGCCTACTGGCGGCGCACAGTGCAAATGCAGACACCTTCAAGGAGAAGAAAGGCCTCAGAGCCCGACCCTCAGCGCTGTGGGAAGAATGGAATTTGGTGAGTTGTTGTTTCTTGCTATTTGCTTTTGCTGACTTTCTGTCTTCCTGGCCTCAAAGACTCGACACGGGCGAAGGCCTTTCAGAGGGCGTGTTGCTCATTCAGAAAACAACCAACAACAGCTGGCTTTTTATTTCGGCCTTTGAATTTCAGCGACTCGCCTGCTGCTGCCTCCGCGTTTGACACCAGGCACCACAGTCAAACGCTGCGGCCTTCCGAACGGAAGTGCGGAATGCCATGGACGAGGCGTGCTGTCATCGAGCCCCCGATTTTAGGCCGAAACGGCGTTTCAGCTGGCCGTCCGCAGGCCCTGGGCTGCGGTGGAGAGGTCAGCGACGAGCATTTGCAGGCCATCGAAGAGGCGCTTTCGCTGGATTTTGGGGTTGGGGTTGGGGGGTGCGTCCGTTTCCCGGAAAGCCTTGGCTTTGACTTGCCGATGTTCGTTGGTTTGCTTGTAAATGTTTTCTTATTTTGGTAACCTTTTGGTTTTGTTGGGCTTGTTTTTTTTGTTTTGAGAGCCACCGAAGCCAGGTCGCCCCGATGGCCCCAAAGCAAGATGCAAAGCTCCAAATTTGGGCTTTCTGGGGGATTTGCCACCTATCGACCGACTTTTGCATTGGTTTTTTTGCATCCAGGTATTGCTGGCAAGCGTATGTTCAGATCTCTGCAGGAAACGGCCCAAAGGTCTCTGCTGGTGCTTCACAGGTGCTGCAGCTTTGGGCAAAACACAGTGCCAAGACGTCCTGCCTGTATCGGAGCAGACCTTTTTCCTTCAGGGGAATTATGACTCAGGGGACCTGTTAAACGGGTTCCAATGCAACAAGGTCATGCGTTTAGCGTCCCATAATTTGTTGGAACCCATGCAGAGGGAGACCCAAATGACCGTGGCCTGAACTTGGCGTATCCGCGTTTTGCACGCGCCCTTTAACAGCGTCCATCCAGGTTCCTCCGAGCCTGACCACCTTTTTTTGTTTCTCTGTTTTCCTCTTTTTTTGCTTTTCGTTTTCGGGGGCTTTCTGCCCCCGTCTTTGGAGTGGCAGGTGCTGCTCCCCATGTACGTCACCCTGCCGAAGAATGGCTTTGACCGCATCGAGCGCCGCTCCCTCCGGCGCCTCGGCGCCCATGCTTGATCGAGCCAGGCTTGTCTTCGCGGGTTGGTGCGCAGCTTTTTGGTTTCTCCTTTTCAGGCCAACGGGGGAATGGGTTTTCATGTTTTTGAGTGGTTGCTTCCAACGTGGTTTCTTGTGCGTGGGAAGTGAGGTATTTGGCCTACCGCTACTTCCACCGGAAGTCAGCTTTGGTGGTCCACGGCTTTGAGCTGCTTGGCAAGGGAGAGAGTCCAATTGCTGCCCCGCACAGTCGGCCTCCCAAAAAGATGGAAGTGGCGGTGTTTGACCGGAGCCCAGAGAGATAGACTTGACCCATTTTGGCAGGGTTGCAGAGCATAGTCTGGCCGTGGGTCTCCTCTTATCTCCTCGAGTTTCCGCGGGTAAGAATGCAGGTGAAGCAGATGCGGAACATATGAGCAAATGACATCGCCGACTGAATTGGATGATTTCAAGCATTGCAATGGCAAACCAAAAGCAAGCAGGGGTGCTGAAAAAATGAGAGGCTTTGATGGTGCATGCTGTCAGCACGCCACAGGCCTACCCGGGTGGTCAATGATTCCAGCTGGGGGGCCGCAGCCATCCTTAGCGAGCAGGTGGGTGGGTGGGGGGCGTTTGGATCCCCGTTGGAATGCAGACAAGCAATCGCCATTTAGATGCTGTGCTTGTTTCCGTTTTTTTCTTCTTCTCTTTTTGTTTCCGCTTTTTTCTCTTTAACCGCCCCAAGTCTTTTTGGCTATTCTGCGTTCATTGTGTTTTGCAATGGATCTGCCTTGCTCAGAGGTTTTTCGGGCTCAAGGCATGCCCATATATACATTCTGCTACGATGACAGACTGGCACGTGAGGCCTAGACTTTGGTGCAAAAGGTAGTTCCATACATCCATGTACACATGTATTTTCGCGCTTTGGAGTCTGTTCCCCAGCAAACAAGAAACACATAGTCACGTAGCCACGTCAACGTTTTGCGTGCTTTCTTCTGGGTCCGCAGGTGCCGGGCTACGTGGAGTCGGTACTGGAGTCCTCGCACGCGGCGGAGCACGGCTTCGACATCCACGACGCCGCGCACATGGCGGGGGGCCCGGACGCGGATGCCTCGAATGCCTCGAAAGGGCGACGCATGTGACAGGAAGCGCTTTGAACGTGGATGGCACGATTCTGTTATTTTGATTTGTCCTTTTTGCTTGACGCTTTCATCCATCGCCCACCCGCTAGTCAGGCGGGCTGAGCCAAGAGGTGGGAATGATGTCTTTTCCTGGATTTGTTGGGTTGACAGAATTCACATTGGGGATTTACATCCACCAACCATTTTACATTTACCCATGCATCCAAACATTAAACTTCGTGGCCTTACATGGGAATGTTCTTGGAGCTGGTTCTCGCTTTGGAAGCTCCAAGCCCTTCCCCTTCTGGCTCTGAATCAGTAGACCTGGGGCGCAATTTTGGGTATTGTTCCGCAGATTGAGGAACTGTCAATCTCGTCGGGTCGGCTTACTTGTGCTCACTGAATGGAGTTCCGAATTCTGAAAACTCACTGAGAGATGGCCAATCCAGCTGTGCTCAGCTGCCAGCCTTGAAGCATGTAGCAAGCTTCAAGCAGATCACACTCCACCGGGGGAGGCCCCTCCAGATGGCAATGGTCTCATGTAGCCACAATCAAAACCTGGGTAGTTGAAGTCGAAGTTGAGTCGGAAACAGTTGCAACCAGAGAATGCCATCAAACTTGGATAGAACCCTTGACGACCCTACCGCCAACAAGCATGGAAGCACACTGGCCCAGTCTGCCAACTTCCATTTTGGGTGGGAGGGTACTACGTTTTGAGTATGACTCGCATGACGTTTGGAACTATCCACTTGTCCGTGGACTTATTCAATTTCGAACCAGAACCAGGGACCCCTTAAAATATGGTTTCCCTTCAAAACACTGGCAGGGTTGTCAAAACTATGGCTCCTTTTCGGACCCTTGTGCGGCGTTTTGGGTACCAAGCAGGGCCCCTTTGGACCACTCCCCCACTATTTGGAGGGTAATTTTGTTGAAAGTGACAGGTTCCCTTGCTCGATCGACACACCTGGGCCGGTCAAACAATCACCCACCTACGCGCTGATTCTTTCGGATGCACTTGAAATATCGGGTGGCTTTGGTGTAGGAAGAACTACTGGTAGCTCAGATGGGTATCAAAATGAAACCACCAGGAATTGGACCGCGGGTTTTAGTCATTTTAGTCCATGTTCCCACTTCCTTGGGTTCCATTTTGGGGTTACCCTATTGTCGACCCACACCCAGATGGCTGAGAATCCACTGGTCCTTGTAAGTGCTTGATGGACCCCCCAAGGTCGCGGTCTTGGAGCAGCTGATCTTCGACTCAGAGAGCTCCTTGCTGGAGAAGGCCAAACCGGAAACGGTGCCTCATAGAAGCCGACAAACGAACCGATGGCTGTGGGTCAAAACCAATGGTACCATTTTGGGGTAGGTGCACCACCCATTTTAGTCTAGTTTAGTGGGGATTGGGATGTTCACCAAAGGTATGGGATTTTGACCCATAGAAGGTACGCAAGGACATGTTCGAGACTCGAACGAAGAGCAGAAGAGGTCGAGTAGCAGCTCGAACTGAATTTGTCCCAAAATGGAGGAAGTGCAGCCATTTCGCGGGGCTACGGCTGCCAATGACCTGCAGCGTTGGCTCAAAAGACACGGAAGTCAGAGACGCCCAGTTGAGTCCAAGCCGATGCCATTGGGTGATATAGGGTTCAGGTAGCGACGTTGATCTAAGCAATCGTACCCCGGACAATTCTAAAAGAGAAGCCCAAGCATGGCGCTGGGCGTGTCCGAACTTCATGGTCGGCCCAAAGATTCAACAAAGCAAAAGCTTTCCCGCGCCACCCGTGCGCTGTTTAGCCCTTCCAGCCCCAAAAGCCCACGTCAACGAACCGCACACCCCACGACGTTCTCCTCCAGCCGAAAATCGACGAAGGGTTTGACGCCTTTCTTCATGCCTTGGCTCTTTCCGATCTTGGCCAGCGCCAAGAGTGAAACGATGGCCCCGGCAAACAAGGAGACAGATGCTGGTTGGTCGCAAAGTATTTGCTTCGCCGCCAATTGTTGCTTGCCGTCATCATACAAGATCAGATGCTCCATGCGTTTTTTTTGCCGGGGATGGTCGTCAACCCCGTACCAGGGATTGACATTTGCCTGACGACCCTTTGGTACTCAGTCTCGCCCAAAGAACATGTCTCATCCGTCTGCAGCCTTCCTTTTCCAAGACATCCCGGAGCCTGAAACCAGTGGACCCCCAAACAAGGCCGATTTCCAGTTCTGTTGGTTTTCCATAGATGCTCAGTTTGGGAAGCTAAGCACCGCATATCTAATTTGGAGAGGCATGTCTGGGAAGCCAACCAAATTCGGGTCCCATGAACCAGGAGTCGGTGCCCTTCGGGGTGCTCCTGGCAAAGGCAAAGGCCATTGCAAAGGAGGATGAGGCCATAGCCAACGAGGAGGAGGCGGGAGGTAGACGTTTGGTGCTTGCCTAAAATGGGGCTGGGTCAATACCAGGGGCACCCAAAAAATGTGCCAAGCTGAAGCTGGGACCCTCAAAAACAGGTTGAAAGACCACCGTACAAACAACGATTGGCCCCACCTGGAATGGATGCCTCTTCCAGGTACAGTTGGACGAAATGCTGCGGCCCTTCACTTCACTCGAGCCTGTTTGCGTGCTTGGAAACACCGTTGGCATGAGTGGAAGGCAGTGCATGATTCTAGGCATGCGCCCTTGAATCAAAAATTCAGGGCCGCGAGATTCCATTGTTTGATAGGGAGACGAGAGTGTGCGTGAACCAGGGTTGAGGTGCAGAATTTCGTCTGTCAATAGTATGACGTTCTTTCCCCTCGCAAAAGTGGCAGACGCACAAACCTGCTGGGGACCGGGAAGAGCTGCCCGGATTGAGAGCCTCGTCCAAATACCCGGGGGCCCACTAGGACGGAAGCCTTTGGAGTCTCTCGCTCCACTGTGTCCCAGGAGAAGCTGATGAAGGTAAAGAAGGAGAAGGCCTGGTCGTGGTTGTAGTTGCTGGCGCTCCAAGATTGGCATGGTTCCGGCAAAAGGCAGAAACACAAAACACAGTGAACAGCGGTTCAAAGGCGCAGCTCAAGAAAGCTGGATCCCTCAAATGGTTGGGTTTGGCTGTTGAAATTCTCTAATATTGACCCCGGATCAATAAACCCCTGTTTATAAATATGGGGGTGTCCCTGGTTTTAGTGGGGATTCATCACTTTTGGAGGGGAACACCCCCCATGTTAATAAACAGGGGTTTATGAATCCAGGGTCAACATGGTTCTTTCTCCCAAAGACGCGCCTTCAGGAGGCTGAGGACAAGGTCGGCAAGAAGGAGGCCAAGGCCAAGGCCAAAGCCACGGCGAAAGCCAAGGCCAAGGCCAAGGCCGACAAGGTGAAGGTCAAGAAGTGCCGGGCTTGGTGTATTTCAGACAGGGTGAGCGCGAAAAGCCCGTGTTGGGCATTGTACTGTTCTACTCCGTTGTTTTTCTTGGACATATGATGAGGACTTTTTAAGGTTATGATATATTTTCTGGGCCTGCGGCCTCTAGCCGGCTACGCCTCTTTGAAGTTATACCATGTCATGTCATGTTTTTTGTATGAGAAACGTATCCTGTGCTATGATATGGCTGGTTAGGTTATGCATGTTGCCCACCCCAACCCCAGATGATGCCGGGGATGCCAGCTTTCTGGGCCCTAGCCAGGACCCAAACCAGAAGGCTCACACGGGGTCGCGCGCGCGCGCGCCAGAGGCCGCAGAAACAGCAGCCCAAAAAGAACAGCCCGCAAGCCAGCCCCCATACGCAAAAGCAACAAAACGCCGTAAATAGCAGCGTTTTGTGGCTGGGGTCGCGCGCGCGCGCCAAACGGCCCGAAAACCAACGCGAAAAAAGCAAGGACCGCGCAGCACGCAAGCCAGCCACAGCAAAAGCAAAACGGACAGAACAACAGCCCACCGCTCAGCACAGCAGTTTTTGACGGTATTTACAGCGTTTTGTAGAGCGAGGACCCAGCATCGCCGGCATGCCCGGCAGCGCTTGGCGCCAAAATGCGCGAAAATGAGCCTCGCTTATATCCCTCCGATACCTTCTAAAACCGTGCTTTTTGGGTTGGGAGGCTTTTTGGAAGGAAGTCTGGATGATGCAGACCAAGCCCCGCTGAAGCATCACCCAGGCCCAACCCCACACCCTGATGATGTCAGCCACATGGCCTAAACCCTGCATATACGCGATTTTTTGCAAGGGTTTCCCACAGGCAAGCAAAGCCGCAAGCCCGAGCTGGTGATGCAGAGGTGCCGGATTTAGGCAGTGCATCACGACCAAGTGGCGAGGGTCGGCGGCACCAGGGTGCACCCCCTATAGCTCAGGCTAATTGCCTAGCGGCGACATGCTACCCCAGGAGGCGTAGCCGGATAGAACCACCGACCCTCTTTTTTGCGTGCAGCGTGACGTGGTGGGAGGGGGTTGATGATGACACATATGGGCAATGCTGAGTCATCGATGTTGTTTCCACAATCAGACATTGCATTCCACCACTCACTTTCGCATTGCTTCTCTACACACATCCATGTATGCAGTGTTTCTTGCTGTCGACTCGTGATGCTGAACTACCAGTGGGTGTTGCAGCATTCAATTGTCATGGGTTGCATGCAGCAGTTGAATGTAGGCCAAATGTGGTGCTGTTGAATGATTTGGTGCACGGCATGCCACACCTTGTAGCTTGGCACAAGTATTTTGTGCGACGCTTGTAGCCACAGCCGCAGAGGGCTTGCAGCAGAATAAGTGGGCGCGGCGCCGGAACTTGGTACTGGAGGCAATGCAGCAAGCGGAAGCACGCTGGAAAGCAGACGCCGGGGCACGGAGACGAAGAACCCATATGCGGACATAGATGGCAAAGTCGTCGCGCAGGGCGTCCGTCAGAAACACGACGCATTCGCTGGTGGGTGCCACCCAGTGTGACAGCGCAGACAGAGAAGACAAAAGACAGGTGCGCAGCAACAGCGAGCAAGCACAGTTTTGTCAGAGGATTGGAGAGCAAGTGTTGCAAGAAATGCTCGAGGAGGACAGTCTGGCTGCTGCGGTGGGCCTTTCATGGCCGGCCTTTCACAGGGAAGGTCGTTTACGCTCAATTTGGTGCGGAGCCTGTTCGAGGATGTCTTAGGCTGGACAGTGATGGCCAGAACGACTTGGATGGGGAGACAATACACCAGGCGTGTAGCTGGCAAGGCGCAGGCGAGAAGAAACTGAGTGCCCAGAAGTTTCTGGACCTGAGCGCCAAAGCCCTGCAGTGGCGGTGGCTGATCGTTGATGAGATCAGCGTGGTCAGGGCAGAACTCTTGGCCAGGCTGGAGGTCGTGCGGGATTTAGCGCGCATGCTGGCAGGAGACTTGTGGCAGTTGCCTCCTCCCCAAGGTATTTGGAGGACGTCCCGTGGGAAATGTTGCAAGTCGAAGCCTGCCTGGCTGCGCCCGTGCCTGGGCTGGTCTGTGGCTTTTGCTCTTGTTGTAACGGGTTCCGAAACTGCCGTTCGGGCACCCTCCGCGCCTCACTTTTCGTTCCTGCCACTGCGCTTGGGCCCTAGCTAGTCTTTGTCACGGGTTCTGAAACTGCTGGCTCCGCGCCTCACTTTTCGCTCCTTTTTCGGTCCCTTTTGGCACGCCATGCGCTGCGCGTGGGCGTATCGGGGGGCGCCCCTGCGTGGGTGCGGCCCTAGCTAGTCTTTGTAACGGGTTCCGAAACTGCCGGCTTTCGGTCCACGCCGTGCCACTGCGCGTGGGCGTATCGGCAGGCTTGCTTGCAAGCCTGGCTCATCTTCCCTTTGGGTCGTTCATGCGACTGCCGGAACTTCCCAGCTGTAGCGCCCACATTGTCGCCCGCACGGCTTCCTGTGCAGCTCGGATCCGCCCAAACGGACGCGAGCTGTGCACAATCGTGCCGCAGTTAGGGCATGCATGCTGGTAGCTGTTTACCACGACGCCGTCCTGGACGCGAAACCGATGTCCACAGCCGCGTGGCACTTTGGGCAGGTGTACATGTAAGCGATCCTGCCTCTCGTTCTTTCTGCGAAAGGGCCAGACCGGCCCAGGCACGCGATGAGACCTTCGGAGGCCCTGCGATGAGACCTTCGGTATCCCAGGCGCCGCCGCCAGAGCAGGCTCCTAGGCGGGGTCGGCGGATGTATATATATATATATGCATATATGTATGTATCCCCCTTTATATAGACTTCAAAGACTTCAGCCAACCAAAGTCAATATGTTTTGGGCGCTGCTCAAATGACGCACTGCACTTTGCGCCGCAAGACAGCCGCTGACCATAAAACGCTACCCAGAAAGGCTAA